AGTTATGAATACAGATTATAATTACAGTTAAATTCACAAACGTAGCTATTGTAATTAATTAAAAGAAATAACTACGAGTAGTATTATACTAGTACTCATACTATGTATCACCTAGTATTAAACAGATTAAAGTGTTCCCCTCACTAGTCCTCAAGCCGCCATGTTCAGAATGCGTCTAATTGTTTTGGTAGCGTAGTAAGTACTGATTTTTGAATTGGCGGTAAAGAAAATTCTGCGCTACTGAGAAATTACAAATATTATATGGGGTCGAATTTCAGAATAAGAGATCTCTATATTTCTGCAGATGATATTCCCATTAAACTCTCCAAGTAAGCTCAGATGCTTATGTAAGGAAGCGTTCACGACTGTAGTCTCAGATGGTAAAATTATGGCAGATTGGAACCCACGACTTTTTCAAGATTTGCGGTCCCTTTTACCCCTAGCCATTAGGATGTTGTTGCGTAATGTATATATGTTAAAGTCAAAACTTAAAACCGGTCAAAACCACTTTTGACAGCAAAAATCAGGCAATTGTAGTTTTGACGGAGGACTTTGGTCAATACAACTTTAACTGCAAATATATTGGCTAATAGTGATTTTGACCAAATCATATCGGTTAAAAGTGATTTTGACCAAGAATGTTAGTCAAAAATACTTTCGACTTGGGCTTTATGTATTATTAAAATTAAAAAGTTCAATTCTTTCAATATTATATTTTATATCATTATAATGCACGCGGTTAGGGTAGCCCAAGGGCCACCCTAGGCGCACTTTAAACCCGCTGTTACTGATATTGCGGGTTTTGACCGATAGTCTTGTTGTAGAACTTTAAATTAGGCAAAACCACTTTTTTATAGAATAAGCGTGACAAACGAAGCTACAGTCCACCTGATGGTAAGTGGAAGCTGTGACCCATAGACATCTAAATTTATCTTCAATTAAGAATCAAAATGCAAATACGTTGTAACCCCTGAGAATTGAGATGGAATGCCTCATTTCTAGTAAAAAGGGGTCTCCAGTTGTCTACATTCACCATACGAAACTGCAGCGTTGAGCTGCTATATAGCGCTGGTATTAAAGAGGGATAGGAGAGCGTGGTCCTGTTGAGCAAACCCAATCATGCTATAGCTATAATATCGCTGCAGCGTGGCTCTACCACGTAAATTTTTCGACTAAGGACGTTCGTCAAAACCATTTTTGCTTGATTTCCGCAGTCAAAAGTCGTTTTGACCGGTTATGAGTTTTGACTGTGACATATACATATAAATAAAATTGGAGTGTCTATAATTCTGGAATAACTACCTTATAGGTTATTCACATGCTAATAACCATTTTAAAATTTTGTTCTGTCCGTCTGTCTGAGCTAATTTTCGGAATGGCTGAACCATTGTAATGAAACTTGACGAACAGATAGAGAGCATTGCTGGTAGTTTTTTCTTTATATCATAAAGGTGACAAACGAGCACACAGTCCACCTGATGGTAAGTGGATGCTGTGGCCTATAGACATCTACATTTATCCTCGATTAAGAATCAAAATGCAGATGCGTTGTCACCCCTGAGGACTAAGATCGAATGTCCCGTATCCAGTAATAAAGGGTCTCCGGATCTCTACACTCACCATACGAAACATAGCAATATTAAGCTGCTATTTTACGCTGGTATTCTGTGAAAGTGTGGTCCCTCCAGAGCCGACCCATTCGTGCTATAACCATAATATAGCTGCATAGCTCTACCATGTGACCTAGGCTATATGTTATCAAAAAAAATGGAACATTATTATTTATAAAATCGTAATGGTCGCCACACACGCTTAGTTGAAATGATCATTCCAATTGATCAGTTCAAACTAAAACTGTTCATATTTTTTAAAATGTTGGCTTTTCGATATATCGATCATTATAAATATATTAATATCGGAGTTTTACATATAAGTTTATTTACGGATATACCGAAAATCCCGTATTTAAAAAAATATCAACAGTCCTAGTTTGAACTGATCAGTTGGAATGATCAGTTGAACTGACCGTGTGTGGCCACCATAAAACTGACAGTGATTTTTCGATTATTGTACTCGTATTACTTGACCAAAGACCACTAATGAATCAGGTTTTTTTTATTAGGTTCTCCAACAGTTATAACACAAAACATTTCAAGAAAATAATACAAGTTCCAACATGTCTTAAGATAAGTGCGTTACTATTTATAGGGGTCATCATGCGTTTAATAATAATAATTTACCTCTATGTGAAAGAAAAATCATTAAACCTATTTTAAGTTATTTTTTTTACAAATTACAGAAGATATTTTTATGTGACAAAGTCCCTGTGTCCCTGATCTGCTTACGAAAATGTTTAGAAGAATCAAAATTAAGATCTATTAATGTACTGCATTAATTGTAAAGTCTACTCAATCTAGAAACAGGTGAGAAATGACCAAGTTTAGTCCTACGCATTGGTGGGTTCATAGGCTAAATAGGCTTTCTCGTAAGCCGAGAAGGTATTCTAAAGGAAAAGAAATTTAGCAAAGGAGGACAGTCTATCTTACTATGAAAAAGCTTGTATCATCATCATCATCATTACAGCCCTTCACAAGTCCACTGCTGAACATAGGCCTCCCCCAAGTAATGCCACAAAGCACAGTCCTGAGCCACCTGCATCCATCGATTTCCTGCATATCTTACCAGGTCGTCACTCCATCTAGTGGGGGGTCGCCCTACACTACGCCTACCGGTACGAGGCTGCCACTCGAGAACCTTTCTTCCCCATCGGTTATCGGTTCTTCGAGCTATATGGCCGGACCATTGCCACTTCAGCTTACTAATCCGTTGGGCTACGTCGGTCACTCTGGTTTTACTGCGGATATCCTCATTTCTGAGTCTATCACGCAGAGAAACTCCGAGCATAGCCCTCTCCATAGCTCGCTGAGCGACCTTGAGCGTCATCATACGGCCAGCAGTGAAGGACCACGTCTCAGATCCGTAAGTCATCAAAAGCTTGTATAGAAACATCAAATCCGAAATGTCACTTCTTGCTTCAAGTGGCATTAACTTAAAAGTAAGAAGCCTACTTTTGTACGATTTAAGCGATCGAGCTTTATCTACAGAGAACGCTACGTGCCACAGAAACCTTTTCTGAACCCTTTCCAAGCGTAACGTATGTGTTGCGAAATGGGGCCTCCAAACAACACCGCAGTATTCCATAATGCTACGCACAAAACTGTTATAAAGAATCGTCTTGGTCTTAACGGTCTTGAAAATCTTTGTATTGCGTATAATGAAACCGAGCGTTCCGGAAGCTTTTTTTATAATATGGTCGAAATGTGTTATAAATGTAAGTTTGTTATCTAGCATAAAAGCATAAAAGCAAGTTGAATGCAGTGGAGATGCGATCTCTTCGTAAAATGTGTGGCGTTACCATAGCCGACCAAAAGCGAAACGAAGAGATTCGCAATATGGCAGGATTGAAAGATGACCTTATCACAAAAATTGATAGGGGCGTACTCCAATGGTTTGGGCACGTTGAGCGAATGAGTGAAGACCGAATGGTGATGAAAATATATAGAGCGAAAGTAAATATTAAAAGGTATCGAGGTAGACCGAGACTAACTTTCGAAGACCATGTGAGCAAATTGCTCTAAGAGGGGAAGGTCAAGAGTACTCGGATACCTAGACGTGCATGTATGAAGAAGTTAATGAACCTGAAAGAAGCGAAAGAGGTATGTAAGGATCGTGACACTTGGCGATCTGTTCTCTCTGGCTACCCCGTTAGGGATTGTGCGTGAAGATAAGTAAGTAAGTAAGTAGTTATCTAGCAGCACGCCCAAATCACGAACACTGTCAACTGCTCGTAATTTGATACCATTGATTGGGTATGACGAAATTGTAATATTTTGTTTGCGCGTAAATTTTATATGTGTACATTTTTTCGCGTTGAGGACCATATTGTTTTCGTGACACCACCTTGTCAACTTATCCAAGTCTGCTTGCAGGAGATTTACATCATCCATGGAATCGATTTCACGCAAAAGTTTAAGGTCGTCAGCATATAAAAAAGATTTAACATTATTAAGATTAAGAGAGACATCATTGACGAAGACGTTAAACAAAACAGGGCCGAGGTGCGAGCCTTGTGGCACTCCTGATGATATTTTATGGATTTTAGATGAATAACCATTAACTACAACGAAAAAAGATCTGTGAGTTAGGTAAGAACTGAACCATTTCAATAAGGGACCATGCACAGCAAAGGCTGATAGCTTACGAAGAAAGAGATACTTTATCAAACGCCTTGCTAAAATCCGTGTAAATAACATCAATCTGTTTGTTCTTGTCCATAGACTTAATCAGTTCTTCGGTGAAGCATACTAAGTTTGTCAAAGTCGATCTACCGCGCGTAAATCCGTGTTGTTGGAATAATTTTGAATTAGGGGTATAATCAATGACTCCATGACTTTACCCATTTGAGGAAGGATTGAAATTGGTCGGTAGTTTCCTATTATATTTTCGCCGCCAGATTTGTAAACTGGCACAACTTTAGCCATCTTCCAGATTTCGGAGAACACTCCAGACTTGAGAGAAAAATTAAATATGTAATGTAGTGGAGTGACTAAATTTGATGCACACTTAACCAAAAAATGGCTGGAATCTCGTCATATCCCGCTCCCTTCGACTTCCAGCTTGCTCAAACTTTGGTAAATCATTTCTTCTGTCAGGTTAATGGAACTGAAAAAATCATTGCAATATGTGAACGGTTGTGTCTGTTGATCAGATTGATTAGACTGTTCACTGTAGACAGAAGAGAAGTGCGATGCAAAAAGATCACAAATATGTTGACCATCAGACGTTGTTACAGAACCATCTGTCATCTCGGCCGGATATGAATTCAGACTGCCACGTTTCGATTTGATAAAGGACCAAAAGAATTTGGAATTAATGGCTATATGTTTTAGTTCTATGTAAATGAAATCGCAGGTAAATACTAGTTGTATAGTAAAACTCACCGGTCGATGTTTTCCATTCTTATGATAATTCATTAGTTTCTCTGTATTGAAGGCAATAACACAATCTTCACACTTATATTTAAGTTCGACGAACTCCTTCCGGGTCACATCCTCTGCTCTTATCCTCCACATCTCCTCTTCAGTCATTGTGTACAGCTCCACAAAATCTGGCAAGTTCTTCAATTTTCTCGAATGCTTCAGTGGCTGTTCTTCTTTTTGCTCCTTTAAAATAGAATAGAATCATTTTTATTCAATATAAATTACAGGAACACTTATTGAAACTCATTTTTTACTTTTACCACTGGTTCGGAAAAAACCTATAATAATAATAACTCTTTTATTTCAGACATAGATCCATATAAGTTGTTAGTAATTGTGCACCTTAAACACTAATGTTAGTTTCTTAAATATGAGTAGTCACTTTTCAACAAATGGTTTCAATAATCTAGCATATGCCCGTCACATCTTTCGGCGAACACGTTCATTATACTGTTGCGGCTGCCACGTATTCTGCTCAACAGCGAGTATACTCTTTTACGTATTATTGCGAAGAAGTCATCTGTTCGTGTTTCTGCAAACATCCCTGATGCGCTATAAAATCGAGGCAGCCCCAACAGGGCCCTGAAAATGTTATTATATAAAACACGAAGGTCACTGTAAGCGCGCTTTGTATACGTTGTCCATAAGCTGCATGCGTAAAAAGATTGACAATAGGTTTTGAAGAGTGTAATCTTAACTTCCTTGCTGCACCGCGCAAACCTACGAATCAACATATTTCCACGGATGAACAGTGCCCTTCGCTCCCTCTCGATGTCCTTATCATCTTTACAATTTTCAGTTATGTAGTGGCCTAGATATTTAAACTCTTTTACTCTTCCTAGGGCAGTGCCATTAAGCAAAATTGGAGGCACATTCTTTGGACACTTTTTTCCAGCTCTAAATACCATAAACTGACTTTTCTTAACATTGTATACTAAACCATGTCTAACAGCATAATCCTCACAAACGCGTAACAATTTTCTAAGAGCGCTAACAGACGGGGCCAGCAGCACCATATCGTCGGCGTAACTTAAATTGTTTAAACAAACTCCATCTACATAGCATCCAATATACATGCTGCTCAATTCACCGATTAGGTCATTAATGTACAGGCTGAATAGGTTCGGTGAGCTTAAACCCCCTTGTCTCACCCCATATTCTAGCCTATACGGATCGGAAAACGTATCTGCCCATTTGACATTATTTATTTGATTGTTGTACCAATACTCGAACATGGCAACAAGTTCAGCAGGTATTCCGGTTTTCCTCAACTTACTCCACAATATTTCATAGGAAACCATATCGAAGGCTTTTGACAAGTCTAGAAAACAGGCATACACAGGTGTTTTTCTGTCCGTGTAGTACTCAACGGTTCGCTTAAGGGCCAAGATGGCACTCTCTGTTGAAAGCCCAGTCCGGAAACCAAATTGAGCATTGTGTAGCTGCAAATATATTCTTAAATACGTATCAAGTAGACCGTCCAGTATCTTTGCTAATATTGTAGCCAACGATATAGGTCTATAGTTGGTTATATCAGAGATGTCCCCAGTTTTATTTTTTAGAATTGGCACCACAATAGTCCTCATTATATTATTAGGTAGATATCTATGTCGTAGGCACAGTGAAAAGAACAAACCCAAAACTCTAGGAAGATGGCCACCAGCATGTTGCAAATGTTCAATGCTAAGATCATCATACCCAGGAGACCTCCCCCTTTTCATGTTCATAATCACTGCACCCACCTGTTTAGCTGTGAAGCGTCATGGTAAGAACCAGCAAGAAACCCAGTGGGACTTTTGTTAATAATATTAATTTACAATATATTATTTTATACAATTGGTATGAAGACATTACAATCAGCGTGGTAGCGATCACCTCATTCCCAGGAATTATAATTAAGCTTGTATTCTTTACTGGTATAACTCCAACTAAACAATTTTTGTTCAATAAAATGTTATATTTTTTGACAGATAAGACCTGCATATTATGGAGTGTAGAGGTAAGGAGTACAGACACTGTATAAAAAAGTGTACGTAGGAAAGCGTTAAATAAGGGTGGCGCCACTGTAGCTACAGTCTAAAATTTAAAGATGTTTTTACAATTTTTTACGGCACAGACTATCACCATAATTCTTTTCACAATAATTATTTTATTGCTTTCAAAATTTTTATTTTCAAAATCACTCTCAACGTATTTTACGGCGATTTATCATACCCCGTAGCTACTCGAGCGCTGTAGTGGAGTGTTTTTGAACTGTTATTTACTGCTTACATATGGACACTTTTTCAACTATTCCCCTATGGAATATTGAGATTGTCCTCCTTGCCTCTATACTCCATAGGTGTATGTATACTTCTACACTCCATACTGCATATTTTCTGAGACTTTGTAGTAAAAGCGCAACATTGTCCCATGAAGGAATCACCAATTCATTGGGAGTCGAGTAACCGATTTAACTAATTTGTGCTTGTTATAAATAGTTTCTAATAGATATAAATAGTCAATTTAAATGTTTATTTCCGAAAAGGCTTCAACACCATAGACCACATACATACCCTACCCTACCCTGCAGTACTGCACAGAAGACCGAAGAGTACAATCTGCCACTTTGGCTTGCGTATGTGGACTATGAAAAAGTGTTTGATTCTGTAGAAATCTGGACAGTGCTGCAGTCCCTTCAGCTGTGCCAAGTTGACTGTCGGTACATCGAAGTGCTGAAGTGTTTGTACAGTAGGGTTATGATAGCTATTCGAGTACAGAACCAAAGTACCAAACCTATCCATATAGAGTAAATAACCTATCATATAGAGGTGTAAGACAGGGTTATATCCCCGAAACTTTTCACTGATGCATTGGAAGATGTTTTCAAGCTACTGGATTGGAAAGGATACGATTCTAATCCTTTGAAATGAGTTTTTGGGCCTTATTGATATAGATGTATCGATATTTATCACACGATATATATCGATACTGTTTAAAAATATAGATACAATATATATCGATATATTTTTTCACTTGCCCGTCCCTACTGTGAGGTTATCAATCTTAGTTCATAAAGGTGACAAAGCATCTGTGGTCTAATTGTTTGAAGTTGGTTACAGTTATCTATGGACTGCGGTAGGTGGTAGGTATCATCAGGTGAATTGTAAGATTGTTTGTCACTTGAATTTCATAAAAAAAATATCCTTACCACATCATCCTTTTTCTTTCTTTTACTCTTCTCCTTCTTGGTCTTCCTGCCTCTTTTCTTCTTTTTCTTCAAGTTTGACAGTAGGACATCATCGTCAGAAGCTTCCTGATCTGGCGATGGAATCGCTTCAAAAAATTCACTATCATCAATAAAGACATCTGTTGCCTCCTCTAATTTAGGGGACAGTGGTGCGTCCAATTCAGGTTCAGGTTCACAAATATCTGAGAAATATTAGAGCAAATGATGAAAACAAAATTGAAAGGCAAATAGATTTTGAAATTGATTCTGTGAGAGTGTGGTACTACCCCAGTCGCGCCGACCCATTCTTGCTACAACCATAATATAGCTGCGGCGTGGCTCTACCACGTATATCCTCTAGGGTCTAGGCTTTCTTCGCATATCTTTCCGGTTCCGGTACAAAATTTCTAATCAATTTTTTAACGACTTCAAAAAAGGTGTTCAATTCGACTGTATGATTTTTTTAATTTGTCATAACTTTTTTCTGGGGGAACCGATTTGGAAGATTTTTTTTATCTGAAAGCCGGTGCTTCTCGTGTTAATCAAAGTGTTAATCGAGATCTGTACAGTAGTTTTTGTGTTATCTTTAATAATGCGTATTTAATTGACTTCAAATACATTGATTGGGTCGTATCGAACTTGGTTGTACAAAATTTCAAAAATTTTATTTTATTGAAGTACTTATTGACTGTTTGATCAGATTGAGCTGTTTGGCACACCTATGTAACTGTTAATGGACCCAGATGCTAATCCTAGCAACGCCGATGGTAGCTTGTTTCAGTGAAAACTTCTTCAATTTTCAATCGTCCATCAATTTTCATTTCTTCTTAATCCTCCGGTGTGACGACAGACCTACATATTGATTCTTAGTTAAGAATAGATGTAGGTATTTGTGGACTGCAGTATTCACTTACCATTGAAGTAAAGGAGATATTTGGACTTTCTTTGTTACTCTTACTTCTAGAAAAGACTATGAGGTATTCTATTCCAGTCTTTTAGAGCTGATACTTGTATCTTGCCTATTTATGAGTTGAACCATAAAAATAATTATAGGAATACCCTCGTCTATTTCTGCAGCTAAGTAACAGTGCGCTCACTTCTGACATCCAGTATGAAGGGAATATATATGTATTTATAGTAGTACAGGTTGTGAGAAATTCCATCCTATTTAAATAACACTATTTTTTACTAATTTTATCGCGTATATTAAATTTTTTATATTCCCGACGTTTCGAGTATTTTACAGCACCCATGGTCACGGGACTGAAGTGTTCGACGTCCCGATATCATGATCTACACTGTATGAACTTATAGTATTTTGAAGTCTTGCAGTTGTGTGTTTGGGTTGGGATTTAATTTTATGAATTATAGGATCCCAAGCAGATGATAGCGCCCAGCCATCTCATCTCTATTGAAAGTAATATGTTTTTTGATTTCAATAGCCTCGCGAATCATCCTCGGAAGGCATTGGTGTTCTTTAGCGAGGTTTTGTGGTCTATCAAATCTGATGTAGTGACGGGGCCAACCCTGTACGTATTCACAGACTGTGGACTTCCCTCGGAAGTGTTCGCGTAAATATAAGAAATTCCATCCTAGTCCGCTAGGGTGACAATGCATCTATGGCTTTCTTTGTTTAAAGTTGGTTCCAGGTGACCATTAGCCGCAGTAACAACTTACCACCAAGTGAACTGTTAGTTACAATCAACTTGTGTATCCAGACTGATAAATAGATAGCAGCTACAAAGATACAAGCTTGACAATGGCTGTGTTTGGCAGAAAAAAGCGCTAGGAAGCGCTTGTAAGCAAAATGGCGAAACTATACAGTTTTCGGCCAGGACACGTTTGCTAACTTCAGTAACGCTGACACAATCCGCCATTTTGCTTATTTACTTTGTTTGTTTTGAAGTAGAGTTTATAAGTTGTTTTTGCAATTAGTTTCAAGTAATATAATGACATGAATAAACATATTATACATGTTATTAAAAATTCATGACTGGTAAGTTTTTAATATGAATACTTTACAAACATATATTTAAATTAGGTTAGGTTCCCCGGTTAAAACTAACTTAGTGTCCTAGAGGAAAATAGCTATTTATGTTTACAAGCGCTTCCTAGCGCTTTTTTCTGTCAAACACAGCGATTGAGAGCTAATAGCCTTCCGCTCACTAGATGCCACTAGTTGACAATGAGGTGAAGTTTTTTGCTACACAATGACATTTAATTGAGAAGTTAGTTGCAAACAAAAGTTTATCAGTTTCTAGAATATTATATTAATACATCAAACCAATGCCTCAGTGGTTTGCCCTTTAATTATTGTACATTTTTAACTCTTTTTTTTCATTTTTCTACTTTTAGTAATATCTGCAGTTTGTTTTATATATTTTTAATGTTAACTATAACGTGTAATATTTAACATTAAAAACGTATGTGAAATATAACGAAAATTACAGAAAGAAACATTGACCTTTACATTTTTTGAACATATTAACTTCCCTGCAATGAAATCTGCCAAATATTACACCCATAGAATACCATAATACATACATAATGGGGGTGTGGGCGGAGCCCGTGTAGCCACTAAAAAGCCACAAGAAGTCAATTCATACGTATAAATATCAACACGAGATGTGTTTTGACGTTACAATCGTTTCCAAATTTCACATGCAAATTATTTAGAAAATGCCAAACTGTACGCTATTTACAAATAAATATGTATTAAAATCCGTCTGTCAACACAGTGAATCGGGTTTGTAGTAGTGATTAACTGATAATACGAAGTAATTGCTTGTATGTGTGCTCTCGGCGACACCGAAACTCGGTACAAAATAAGGTTGACAGCCATTCTATTTTGTATTATAGTATTCTATGATTACACCTGATTGTTAAGTGGTGCCGCCCTAGTGGCAGAAAAAGTAATTACTGGAAATCTTCCAAACAACAAAATATGACTTGATAGAAGATGCTCACCTAGCTTTCCATCATCACATTTAGGATCATCAGCTTCAATCTTGACAACATCTATGTCCAAAGCAGGCTGTTCCTCTTCCTTTAATGGAGCCAATATGGGATCCGAAGAAAGTGTTGTAGTAGACAGACGGCTCATAGCATGAATAGACAGATCACTTGGTGAGTTAAGAAAAGTGTGCTGTAAATTATAATATAATTTACAAGTAAAATACACATGAAGGTATAACATGGATTGAAGAAAACCAAATACTAACCACACTTATAAAAAGGTGACAAAACTGATTTCTTTTTAAATAAGCTGAGCCATGATAGCTCAGACAGCGCTCGCTGTAAATTACACAGTACGCCAGCAACCCGGGTTCGATCCTCGCCGGCACTATAATATACCATTGAAATTTTTAATTGCAATTTTATATGTATGAGAAATAAGAAAACAAAATTATCAAAGACATGTGTAGTACGCCAACACGCATTGGGACAGCATGACGGACACTTCCTTGTCCTAAAACCCTCTCAGTAACGAGAGGAGGCCTGAGCCCAGCAGTGGGACGTATATAGGCTGTAACTTTAACTTTTTAACTTTAAGCTGAACTTATAGAATGATTGATACTTTTACCGGCTAATTGTGTTGAGAAAAATAATTGATAGTTTTAACGTGGTAGAGCCAAGCTGTTGCTATACTATCAATGCAACACAAATGAGTCGGCTTAACCAGGGTAGGAGCACGCTTTCACAGAATACCAGGCGTAAATTAGGAGCTTAATGTAGTGAGTGTAGAGAACCGCAATTCTTTTTTACTGTAAACAAGGTATTCCATCTTAGTCCTTAGGGGTAACCATGCATCTGCATTTTGATTCTTAATCAATAATGATGATGTTTTATAGATATAGATATTATTAGGCCACAATATTCACTTACCATGAGGTAAGTGAATATTGTAACCTTCGGTTTGTAAAAATAACTTGGTATTGAATGGAAATTGACTTTATGATTTGAAAGTATGAATTCTTTGAGGGAGGCCTATGTTCAGCAGTGGTTTTGTGAAGGGATGTAATGATGATGATTGAATGAATATTGAAATATTCCTTATAAATACAATACAACCAAGTCTCCTAACAAACAGTTTGGTAAGGATGATTAGTAAAACAAATAAACAATTCATGAAAAATAGAGCTGTCTGTGGAAAGAGTACAACATGAGTATTATTAATTTATTACAGTTTTTTTCATTACAAATGATAAAAGTCAATAAAAAATAATTGCGAACCCGTAAGGTTGCTCACATACTGTGAAATCAACAGAACAACCGCTTGGCAATTGACTTTACAAATTTTTGAAAACATTGTAAAGAAGCTGTATGGCTAAAAATTAAAAAAAAAATTATAAGACATGTGAAGTTCCCCAACACTCAATGAGGCAGCATGGATGACACTTCCTTGCCCTAAAACCCTCTCAGAAATTATGGAGGCATGTATTTAGCAGTGGGATGTATATATGCAGTAGTTTTACAAGTCCATATTTGTCATAGTTGATATTTTCGGCAGGTGGGTCCGCAGTATTTTTTATTATTTTGGGTTGTCATAAGGAAGATGCTGTTGCTCATTTCCTTTTTTTTGTCATCTCTTATGACACCCATGGGATTATATGAGGTAGGAAATTCTCTTACGCAGCCACTACTGATATCAATTCCGTTATGCATGTCTTATGAGATTTTTTTTAATTCTTAGCGGTTCACAACTTCATAGAAATATAACAAATGTGATATTTTCCATTTATCCCCTAGCATCAGTAGCAATAATTGGTTATGATTGGTTGTGCTTTCATTCATACATATCTACGTTTAAATATAATAAAACTTTTCAAAATACTAACTTTTCGAGAATATTCTATGAGTACATCAAATGCAGACAGAATTTGGGCACGGAAACGCACAGCAGATCTGACTGCAGCAAGGCATTCCCAGCACACTTGAATCGACAGACCATCTGGAACCTAATAATTTTTTTTAATTAGTATTGTTGGATGAAGATCATAAAATAATTTAAGGCTATTGAGACCATAGTAGGACAAAGGCCTTTCACGTAGATTTACTCAATGTTGACTTAGATATTGACATATTTGCCACAGTTGGTACTTGGTACACTTAGCAGATGTATCAGCAACTGTCGTTTTTTATGATACTGCTGATCTCAAATTCAAATTGTTTATTGCATGTCATATTACAAAATATCTAGTTAAATTTCCCTCTATCACTTCTTACGACACCTATAGGATGACAGGGCGTAGTGGATTCCATTATAGAGACAACACAGGGTTCTCGTTATGCAAGATATTATTTAAAATAGTATCATGTGATAACGGCAGAAGAGTATCTATGGCTCTGTTTTGTCTTGGTGGCAAAGGAAAATGCCAGAAAATCTTATGACTTCCAAAAGGTGGCTAAGTATCATCTTGTTTAAAATATCCAGATTAGCAATGGGTAGTAAGGTCAAAAGTGGAAGATGTCTAGTACTGTAATTGATATCAATACCCATATCAAATGTGACAGCTAAGGTAGCCCCCCCCCCATAAGGGTAGAGGCTCATATACAGCAATGGACCTTTTACCAGATGATTATGAAAATGAAGAATGATATGTTACATATATAACTGCCCTGACGTAGCACAAGTGATTTCTGGATTTTGACAACAGTGCCACCTGTCGGGTTTAATTGTGAATGGGAATCTTAACCATCCAGGGACCCATTCAAACACACACAAAAAATGTCATTAAAATTGATTGGGCAGTTTTTGACTTTTAGCGAGACTAATGGACAGCAATTGATTTTTATATATAATATACAAAGGATGAAGGAAGGAAGGAAAAGGATGACTGCCTCGTTGGTCTAGTGGTTGTAGTAGTGCGACTGCTGATCACGAGGTCCTGGGTTCGGATCCCGGGTTGAGCCCACAAAATCAATTATTGAGTTTTTCCGTCAAGAAATTCTCAGTAGCTGGCCAGAGTCAGGAAGATGGCAGTGTCTCACCCCCACGCCTCGGAAAGCGCCATCGGATTATGAGAGTGAGGGAATAAAGAGTGCACCTGTGCTTGCTCATATACTTGAGCACTATAATCCTGTCCTGCGCCAATAGCTAGCCTCTGTTGAGGCAGGCCGCTGTAACCGAAATTCAGTCTGGAGGACATTATTATTATACAAACAATGGTATGAACATTTTATATATGAGATATAAAATACCCATATCTAGAATTCTAAATGACACAAAAATGCTAAATGTCCGCATGGACAAATGCCTGCTAAGTAAATAAAGCTACTGTATTAGAGGTAAGTTAGTGTATAGTGTTGGAATATGGAAATAACCCCAATTTATTCAAACCTGAAAACTAATAATTGGTGTTTAAGCATAAATGCTGTATCCAGCTGGTATTCACCATGTAGTATGGTAGGTTATCATGTCTAGCACAGGGTTACTCAAAAAAGAAAACCAATGTGTAAAATTGCAAGATTACTGGAATCTAACCAATTGATATCATTTATTCATCATAGTCCTTGGAGGTATAACATTGGAAAGTTTTAAGAAGAGGATTTGAAGAGCATCATCCTCAAGATCTTTGATTAAATACTTAATATATTTAAAATCAATGCTTGGGGGTAACACATTTCTATTTTAATTCTTTCTAAATTAGCAAACTGCAAATTTAAAAAGTACCTAACATATTTTAACAACAATTGTTTTTAAAACCAGTGGTTTTGCGTCTATAAAAAATAATAGAAATAGCGACCGATCTAAGGTTTTTTGTTACAACTGATATTTTTAAGTATTTAAGATTTATGACTTGTATATCATATTTTAAGACTTGAAATCAACTTCAAAATTATAAGAAATGTTCTATGGATTACAATTCTCTAAATATAAATTAATATTATACTTACATCTATATTTGCCCATATTTTTAAAAAATTCTTTAACTTCTTCTCGATAAAACATCTTTCTGTTGTAATTTAAACAGCCAACACATACACCGTTTACATTATAACCTTCAATATTGATATTTATTTCCTTCATTGTTTATTTTCAAAATGTGCAAATAATTATTGTAGTGTTTACAAAAATCTTTACAAGCAATGGAAACTTTATGCCTTTCTTTCGGCCATTTTGTTCGTTTTCTGTTGACACGACAGATTGACAGTGACAGATGATTTTTTATTTTTTGTCTGTGGTTGACATTTGCTGGTTTTGTAATTGTTAGGATCTGCCAATTGAGGCAAGCAAAGGTTTTAGACCATACACCCTTATCTTACGTATTTTGTTCACAATAAGCTCACACTGTGAATTTCTTGGTAGATTTTGACGACATCTTAATCCAGCAGATAGTTTATGACGATAATATTTTAAGATCCCTAATTATAATCTATATATTATTCGCATAAAGAATCTGAGATTAAAGCACTATCGAAGATCTTGTTACATAGTTTCCACAAATAACATGACATTCAATACACAATATCGCACTACATTTACATATCAATTGAAACCAGTATGCAAACAATAAAATAGCGAGCAACTATCCGCGCGTGGTTAAATACTAAAAAAAATTATATCCTATAAAAACAAAAAAGCCCTGACTTTTGTTTTTGCTTGACACTCAAGTTTTACAGCTTTATGTTTTCTAAGCATGGAGTGTAGGTAAGGTAAGGAGAACCGTCTCACATGGAGAATAGTTAAAAAAAGTGTCCATCTGTAAACAGTAAATAACAGTTCATAAACTCTCCACAACAGCGCTAAAGTAGCTAGAGGGTAAAAAAGGAACTTAGCGATTGTTGACGAAGTGAGGTGTGCTGAGTTGAAGAATTTAATATTTGTGGCACCCAAAGTAGTTGATGAAACTGCAGTCCTTATAACCTCAACTACTCACGTTGTCTAAAGTTGTTTAGTAAATATAACCTGGAAAAGTCTAACCGTAAAATATAACCGTGAAATACGTTGAGAGTGATTTTGAAAATAAAAAGTTGTGAAAAGTTCTTTAAAATGTACCCTCTAGCTGCAGTGGCGCCACCCTTATTTAACGCTTTCTTACGGACACTTTTTTAATATAAAGAGACGGTTTTTCTTACCTCTACACTCCATGTTTCTAAGGGGTAAAGTGATAATATTAGATATTTATGATTTTTTACGTGAAAACTACACATTTAAATAAAACAAGTTTTTACGGATAATATCGCGTATATTAACTTATCAACTCAACGGTTTAATACCTCCTGGCGGCAACCATTTCGCCTGCTTGAATAGTTATATGCTCCCTGGAGGCGAGCACGCAGCTGATTTAAAAATGTCATTTTAAAACCACTAAATTCTTCCTGTCCTTGTCCAACTTATACAAATTGTGATTTGTACTTACTATTTCAACTAAATTAATTGTTGAGTACAATTTTGTCTTGTTATGTTAGTTTGAAATTCGTTGTGTTGGGAGTAGGCACTCGGATCGGTAACGGTTTAAAGATGATTTCGATAGATTTTTTAGGATAAAGTATACCCTTACCATTAAGAATATAAAGGTATACGTATCATAAATATATTTTTTTGTTAAGCTGTAACCAAATCAGCGAGGCACTCGAAGGGCATGCCCCTAGAGCCCCATTTAGATAAGGGTTTTTTTGTTACTTGTCGATGACTAGGCGTCATTTCTCATAAAAAATAGTTCCGTTATGATTATTATAGACTTAGCTAACCTTTTGTTCAAGTATTTTTAATGTTACCTTAAAAACAAACACTAGAAAATAAATTTGTATCGAATAAATGTTTATTTATCAGTATTATCACATTATTTACCAAAAAAATTGCGAAATTCTTTTTATGCAACTTCAACTCGCTGTTTTGTAATTAATGAATGATGAAATTGAATTTCAGAAAAATACAACTAGAAATAAAACAGTCCTAATGAAAATTTCACTAGAATTACGAGTCAATATATTTTTTTAATTAATAAATAAATCTTCGCCATTTTTGGGAATTTTTCATTATAAGCCGATTGAGCACCCGCGAGCAGGATTACATGCGAGAGACCCAACCAATGACCCCGTAAGTATGTTTTACCGCGCGCAACCGTTGGGTGTTTATTTTATATTCCTGACGTTTCGAGCACTTTACAGCACCCATGGTCACGGGCAGGACTGAGGTGTTCGATATCCCAATGTCATAGTTAACCACGGATTAAAATTATTAATTTTTGTTCCGACCTACGCATTATGAACTTATAGTATCTTAGTCTTGTAGTTGTGTGCTTGGGTTTGGATTTAGTTCTATTACTTATAGGTTCCAGGAGCAGGTGGTAGTACTCAGCCATTTTCTCTATTGAAATTAGGATGTTTTTTGATTTCAATAGCCTCGCGAATCATTCTTGGAAGGAATTGGTATTCTTTAGCGAGGATTTGTAGATAAGTGACGGGGGTGATCTTGTACTTGTTCACAGACTACAGACCTCCCGGAGGGTCTATTATTCATAACTGCTATGTGTTCTTTAACGCGGGTTTTTAGTGATCGATTTGTTTGTCCTTTATAAGAAAGACCAAATTCACAATCAAGCTTGTACACTCTTGCATCTTGCAGGAGGATATTACACTTGACTGATGGTAAAAACTGATTAATCTTCTTCGGCGGGTTGAAGTATGTTATAATGGAAGCACGCTTTAAGATGTAGCCAATCTTCTCAGTGGCACCTTTGTCGCATGGCAGTACAGCAGGCACACGCTTGACTGTGGCCGGCTTCACTCGTTTACTGTGAGTAGGCACGGGACCCGAAGCTAGTTGTCATACAAAACTTACATGACGTGTTGGAGCTCGGTGGCTAGGTGTTTACGGTCACAGATCTTTCATGCCTTCTGAAACAAAGATTTACCCACGGTAGCTGTCTGTGATATTGCTTCTGAGTTCCCGAAAACCGAATTTGACGGCCTATGAAACTTCCTTTATCCTAGATTACAAACGTCAACGGGTAATCAATTTTCAGTATGCGAGCAGCCCCGTATTGATATCCACCAACAACAATGTAATTGTTAGTTGCAATATTAAGTGCTTATTTGCAACGAGCTCGGCGTTTAAGGATGCAATGAAGCAATTAAAAGTGTTGTGAAGTCCACCATTGGACACGCATTGGAATAACTCTCGAAAATGAGAGGAGCTCTGAGCAGTGGGACGTATATAGGTTGTAACTTCACTTTAAGAGTTAAAATGCAGACCTGAGGTCTAAAATGAAATGCTCCGTTACCAAAAAAAGGGGACGCTTCTTGTCACTCACTTATAAAATATAGCAGCATTATGCTGCTATTCTTACGAGTGTGGTTCTCCTACCCCGGTCGAGCCGGCCTATTCGTTATGCAGCCACATTCTATATATTTATATTCCATATTTATATTCTACAGCGTGGCTATACCACGTACCTCCGCCTATGTGATGAACTGCTTGGCCTGATAAAATGCTAAAACTTGCGCGTTATTGTTACGATTCTTCAGTTAAGACAGGCAAAGGTCTTAGGAGCATACAGCCTTTTCTGATGTGTATTTTTCATAAAATTCTTCTCAATATGCTGATGCATCGCATTGTGAAGTTTGCGAAGATTTTGGCTGAGGACTTTGAGGACTGTTTAACCTATCGAACAGTTGAGGGCGATATTATGTTAAGGCAAAGTATAAATAAAAACGAGATTTATCTCATAATCAGAGCACCTGTCACACCGTTACCACTAATATTTAACATGCCCAGACATTAAATATACTAAATCGCACCAATTTGACGCATCCAATTTATGACTTCAAAACATTAATAAAGCAAATTAACACACGAGCAACAATTCGCCGGCATTAAAGTTCTCACCAAAACAGCTGCGGCATAAGAATGTAAACTTTTCACTTCCTTGAATTGAAACGAACGTAAAACGTTTCTAAAGTTTCACTTTAGAAATAAGGGGGAGTTCAAAGAATAAAGAGTTCTATTGTAAATCATTTTATTATCATTTCGTTTTCCTGTTCTTGTAATGCACTTTATGGTCGCACTGTCTTAGCTTCTCGGCCGCTTGTTCCGGTGTGAGATCTCGCTGAGGTTGTGCTAGCATTTCGTAGCCAACCATGAACTTCTTCACAGTAGCCGAGCGGAGAAGTGGGGGAAGATATAGCGCGTGTAAGAGCCAATGGGGGGAATCCCCTTGGGTAGTTGATGGACCGGTTGGAGCGCCTGTTAACAAACACGAATATAATTACGCAAAGAAATAAATTTCTTCCAAAGGATGATCTTATGTTTAGAATTTTTTCCATTAAATAATTATTCAAAAAAAAATTAAGAAGAATCATCAAAATTTTGTAAAAGGTTCCAGTTATGCCGCTGCTTTTAGACATCCAGCAAATTTTACGTAGATAAAAAAATTATATACGTAGCCACATAACCACTAGCACGTCCGTGGAGAGTATAGTGGCCAAACAAAATATGCCGTCGTCCGTCCGGCATAGTATACTATCCGAAACGACACGTTGTAAATATTGCCATCTAGTTTAAAAATGCCGAAATAAATGAACGTTGTGCTTGACAAAAATGATTATCTATGAAATACTTCACTAGAAATAACAGAAGAGGGCAGTGTTTAGTGTTTGGATGCATAGAATTAAAAATAACAACTTCAGTCGACTTGTCACGAAAGTGTTTCGGAGCACCAGCGATTATGTCGTCGTAAGTATTTCGTTTTTTTTACTTAATTGTTAGATTATTGTACATCAAAATGAACTATAGATTCTGTACTTTGTGATAATACTTAGGCGATTAAGTTTCACTTACTAAATCGGCTCTAATTTGAACTTCAAAATATTGTTGTTACCAAAACAATGACGTCTTTGTAATTCACAATCGCTAGTCGTCTTGTTTATTATTGATTTACGTGTTATTTAGGGAAGTAATAGTGATAAAATTTCTAATAAACATACTCATACACTTTTAAAATATATTAAAATGTCAAAGGATTCACAATTAATATCAATGTGTTCTTCAGGTATTTTCGTATGGCTTGTGCGGTATCCAGGGACGTTACAACAAAAGTTATAAATAAGGGTCTCTAGAAACGAGGAAGTGCGTTTTCAATATTTAATACTGCTTGGTGTTATCACGTGTTTTATTTTTGTTGTAATATATTGATTGTATTGATTCATTTTCACTCTTGTTTCGTGTTTCAAAAATGGTATTTGCACACTTTTACTGTATTTGAAATTTTAATGTTTTTGTATTTTTGGGTTATTTATCTTTTGTGATATTTTTTTTTTGTTCTAATTATTTCAAAAGTCAACAATTTATTCCTCGAAACTAATGCAACACATTACGAAGTTTTTGTTTCTCCTATAAAATTTACTTTGTTTACTACGTTTTTTTCTTCGGGGACGTCGATTTAGTAAATAGTTTTTTAATTTTATCGTTCAAAGCCAAAATTATAAATCATTAAAATATTTTATCACTTATTCGTATTTCATTCAACCATATCGTGTATAGAAAGCCTTAGACGGACGGCCATCTTCTTCGGGCGGACGCTAGAGTGGATAATACTGAATACTGATTACAGCCTAGAGTTCAATGTTGAATATAGGCCTAACCCAAATATTGCCTTGATTGCTTTTTTATATATTGGGCAAATATAGTGTTTTTACTATTTTGATCTGTTACCAAGAAGATAATGCTGCCATCTGTTTCAGTTTCCCTCGTTACTTCTTACGAAATCTGCGAGATAAAATAGGGCAGTTTCCCAAACATTGTTATGCCATGGCGCAGTAATTTTCATACTGCCCGTTCCTAACTCACTTAATACCATGGAGCTTAGAGAACAGGAGAACGATCACTACGTATTAAAGCATAGCCCGCCTGTCCTTGAAAATTGTAGAATATATAGCGGCGCTGACGTCGGTGAGTAGTAACTGCGAAGTTAGCTGTTTATGAGTACAAGCAGATTAAGTTGAATAATGTACAAATTTTCTTCGCGGCATTGGTGAGAAAATTTTCATGCTCCGTAATTTTTTAATTTTTAACAAAAATAAACATTAAAAATGGATAAATATTTTATTGTACATGGATGTGCAAGTGGTTTAGCTTCTGATCGGAAAAATAGACTGAAAATAACTTTTATTGAGCGAACTTAGCGATCGCAGCGCTTCACTTATGGTGTCCATATTTCTGGGACACTATTTTATACGGTAATCGTTCTCCTGTTTCTAACCTCCATGCTTAATACTTTTAAACCGAAGCTGGTTCCATTATGTAAAATAATACACATTTATTAATAGTAAAAATATTTTATCAATACTAAATATTTAGATATCGCCTATTTAGTCATTAAGGAAAATGACGAAAGTTTTGTCCTAAGGTCTGGTTCCACTTCAAGGCGGTTTGTATATTTATTTTTAAGGTAAACTAGTAGTGGTAGGTGTGCGGGAATGTTGCGACCCGGTATTTTATTTTGATGGCCCGGTACCGGGTCGCGACCCGACTACTGAGAAACGGTGAAATAGGGGTGATGGATTCGTACCGATAGTATTTTATTCCTTGGACATAATTAATTCGACATCTTACAACACATGGCATCAAAAGCTTACAGTGGTGCCGGCAACGAAGATCACGAACCTACTTCCTAAGATCACAGCCTCTCTTCTATAGTAGGCGTATTCAAAATATCAAGTTACTTTTGCCGTCTCCGTGTAGTGACGGAGTTAGAGAATATACTACATCATATCATCATGTGAGTGCGACAAAAGGAGACAGAGGGGAAAAAAAATCAAAAAATGGGCGGTAGCATCTTCCTGATCAACTCAAAATAATAAAAAACTGCACGGTCAACCCACTAAGTGTGAAAAATATGACAAATAAGGCAACTATATGGTTGTTGGCAAATGCGGGAAATAGAGTGTAGTGGGGCCCTGCACTCCATTGTGAAGAGTCAAAATGTGTCAAAAACGCACGTATGGCAATTCACAATGCTGTGTTGGTACCTACTTTGACGTATGGTAGTGAAAGTTGGGTGTGACAGAAGAAGCACGAGAGTAGAATCAACGCAGTAGAAATGCGGTCGTTAAGGATTATGTTAGGGCTGAATCTGAACGACAGGGTAAGAAATTGTGTGATAAGAGAAGAGTGTGGTTTGCAAGATGATGTTGTGACCAGGATTAAGAAAGGAATGCTTCGGTGGTTTGGTCATGTGGAAAGAATGAATGAGGAAAGAGTGACAAAGAAAATTTATGTTGCAGAAGTGAATGGCAGAGTCGGAAAGGGACGTCCTAGGCGAAAATTTATCGACCAAATTGGCGATTTATTGAAAACGGGCCAAATTAGGAGTACCCTTAACCAACGAGCATGTATGCGTAGGTGTATGGATGTGAAGGAGGCGAGAGAGGTGTGTCAGGATCGTGCCAAATGGAAGTCTGTAGTCTCTGCCTACTCCTCTGGGTGACAGGCGTGAGTGTTTATGTTTATATGTATATGGTTGTAACACGAATGGTTCGGCTCGACCGGGGCAGGACCTCGTTCTCACAGAATACCAGCGTAAAATAGCAGCTTAATGCTGCTGTGTTTCGTATGGTGAGTGTAGAGAACCGGAGACACTTTTGTACTGGAAACGAGGCATGCCATCTTAGTTCTAAGGGTTGACAACTCATCTGCGTTTTGATTCTTAATCGAGGGTTAATGTAGATGTCTATGGGCCACAGCATCCACTTACCATCGGGTGGACTGTGTGCTCGTTTGTCAACCTTATTCTATAAAAATATTCCACCTATGAGATAATCTATGGTGTTCTTTGTTCAGGAGTGGAATTTTGATTGGCTGTATTGATGATATACGGTTCGGCTCAGTTTGTCTGCTTAGCTTGGCTGCGACGCTGCAGGACCGCAGGTTCAAATTCCGAAAGGAACAAGTTTTTGTATGGCCTACAAATGGTCGGGTGACCGACTAATAGTACTGTAATACTGTTGCACAATGTACCTATAGTCCTATATTAAGGGCTTATGATAGGCCTATGATACAAAAGCAATACTATAGAAGGTCTCTATGATGAATTTGCATTACAATAGTAGGGTCGTGGGTTCAAGTCCTGTATATTAATGACTTATGAAGGTAGGTCTATGATACAAAAGCAATACTATAGAAGGTCTCTATGATGAATTTGCATTACAATAGTAGGGTCGTGGGTTCAAGTCCTATATATTAATTACTTATTAAAGTTAGGTGTATGATTCGAAATCAATACTATAGAAGGTCTCTATGATGAATTTGCATTACAATAATAGGGTCGTGGGTTCAAGTCCTATTATATTAATGACTTATGAAAGTTAGGTCTATGATACAAAAGCAATACTATAGAAGGTCTACATGATGAATTTGCATTACAATAGTAGGGTCGTGGGTTCAAGTCCTATATATTAATGATTTATAAAAGTTAGGTCTATGATACAAAAGCAATACTATAGAAGGTCTCTATGATGCATAAGCATTACAATACTAGAGTTATGGGTTGAAGTCCCATATATTAGACTTAGGTCTATGATACAAAAGCATTATTATAGAAGGTTTCATATTTGTTTCCGCGATATATGAATCCTTTAGAAATGTATACATGTACATCACCTTTTCGATACAGGAGAAAATCCTCGTGTGTGGGGGCAACGTTAAACAAATGAAAGTAAAAGTAAGAACTTACCATGCCACCCCATGCTGTATGGGAAACTACATTGAAACAGATTGTCGTATTTGGTGTTCAGCTGCTTCATGATTTCCGCCAATCCTCTCTTTTGTTCTGCGTTCAGATCGGTCATCCTCTGGGGGCTGCCGTTGATGGGTAAGACCATGGTCTCATAAGGCCAGGCTGCCCAATACGGCACCAAGGCTACCCATTCCGAGTTCTTTATGACAATCCGCTCCTTTAACAGTAGACAATGAAGGTTAAAATTAATCTGCCAACGTTCTAAAGCAAAGGTAACAAACGATACAGCCTAATACATTTCCACATCTACAGTCCAAATACAGGTCTATAGGATGCATTTCAGAGACAGGTATTGCATAACTTAATTCCTCTCTCTCCCATCCACCATCGAACAAGACACTTGGCCAGTCTCCACTATTTCGTTGTCGACGTACCACCTTCAAACTTCACCTTCGTTTGCTTCATCGTTAGTAACACGTACAGCAAAGAAGTGTAATAAACTACCAGCATGTCTTTCAGTACGCGAGCAACTCGGGTTCGATCCCCGCCGGCACCAACGAAATTGTTAATTGCAATTTAAAGTGCTGATTTGCCACGTGCTCGGCGGTGAAGGAAAACATCGTGAGGAAACCTGCATGACTGAGAAATAAAAAAAAATATTTCGAAGACATGTGAAGTTCGCCAACACGCATTGGGGCAGCGCGGCGGACACTTCCTTGCCCTAAACCCCTCTCAGAAATGAGAGGAGGCCTGTGTCCAGCAGTGGGACGTATATAGGTTGTAACTTTAACTTTTTTCTTAACTTTACGTGTCTTTCCATCCAATTTCAATGTGGTTGCCTTCCAGGAAAGAGTGAGCGAGTGAGTGAGCCGAATGACAATTACTAGGGCTTGGGTATTATTTTTTATTTTTTATATGAAAGGGTGACGAACGAGCACACAGTCCACCTGATGGTAAGTGGTTGCTGTGGCCCATAGACATCTACATCCATCCTCGTTTGCGAATCATAATGCAGATGCATTGTCAGCCTTGAGGACTAAGGTGAAATGCATCTTTTCCAGTAAAAATGTCTCCGGTTCTCTACACTCACCATACGAAACACAGCAACATTAAGCTGCTAATTTACGCTGGTATTCTGTGAGAGCGTGCTCCTTCCCCGATCGAGCCGACCCATTCGTGCTACAACTATACAATTAATATAGCTACAGCATGGCTCTACCACGTAAAAAAATATTATTTATTAGTATTAGTTTAGCACTGGCTTAGTGTAGTAAAAAATGATGACGCTGTGGCAACGAAACCTCCATCTACCCTCCACTAAGAGTCAAAATGCAGATGGGTTACCTTTCCTGAGGACTTAGATGGAATACCACGTTACTAGTAAAAAGAGCCTCCAGTTCTTGTTATTAACTTCTGCGCGAGAGTGTCCTAATTTCAATAGAGAAAGAGGCTGGGTACTACCACCTGCTTGGGATCCTATAATCAATAAAATTAAAACTAAACCCAAGCATACCACTGCAAGACCTCAGAACATAGTTAGTTCATTTTGTATAGATCCAACCATAAACAATAATTAAAAAAGCTGAAGGTACTCCGGGTTTAACAATGACATCGGGACGTCAGTCATCTCAGTCCCCCCGTGACCATGGGTGCTGGAAAGCGCCCGAAACGTCGGGAATTAAAAATAAAAGTAAATAAAAGTAAAAGTAAACGCGACAAAATCCGTAAAAGTAGTTTTAATCAATGTGTAGTATTCGCGTAAATATCAGAAATCATTACATATTTATTTGTAAATATCGTGCAATTTGGCATTTTCTAAATAATTTATACGTGTGAATTGACATTTTAGTGGCTACGCGGGCTCCGCCCACTTCCCCGTTCCATGTATTTATTATAGTATTCTATGGCCTTATCTTTTTCACGTCCTAACCGTCATTATGCGGAGACAATCAGGTACTTTTCGTTATTTGTGTACATACCTTTAGTTTCAGTTCCTGCTCGACGTAATCAACGAGCAACGCTTTTCCGTTTTCATTGTAGTATTCTTCTTGGCATCTGAAAAGTCAGTATGGAACTTTAACATTGTCATGAATATCGTGCCCTGCAAGGAGTTTAGAACCGGGAGCGGCCAACGATCCGTGTGGTAGTACGGAGCTTATTCCTTATATCACAGAGTCGTTCGTAAACTTCGATAGCGTAATTTAAGCTTTGACTCATATCCCCTTGAGATGCTACGACAATGCCATCGCAAGTCCATTAGAAATAGGTTTTTTTTAAATTCAAAATATAAGAATCAAACTGATACACAAAATGATTTTTTATCCCTACAGCAGAAACCACACACGGTTTAATTGCTGTGGTCTATTAACTATGAGATATTATAAAAAATTATAAACTACTATTATAAAATTATAAACTATTAAATATTATTTTAATGGCTGAAGGTTCTGTTCTAATTAACAGTTTAAATACTGGTAAGTCGTTATTGCTTATGAATAGGTATCTGTAGCTAACTTTGAGCAAAGGTTACAAATACGTTGTCACCTACGAAGACTAAGATAATATACCCCATAGCCGGTAATTACACTGTCACACCTAAAATAGAACACAACTGGGTGTTTTGCAGCTTGGTGACAGTACTGGTTTGTATCAACTCAGATGAATTCCGACACAGAGGCAGAAAAGGTTAAATATGAATGCTCATACAAAAAATTCAGTAAAACAAGGACATTTTGATATGGTTAAGTATCAGGCTCGAAGGACCAATTAAAGATATGTCTCTTAAATTGTTACGATTTGTTGAAAAGTCTTGAAATGCACTTCAAAAATTTTCCGGGTTTGCGGGTCCTGCAATGATTGGCAGTGCCACAGTACAGTGTGGCACTGCCAATCATTGCATATTGTTAGGCTAAACGAATCGTGTGATGTTTTTTCGTTATACTCTGGCTCTGTAAACACACACATACACACGCACACACACACACATATGTGTGTGTGTGTGCGTGTGTATGTGTAAATATGCATAAACAAGACGTCAATTTTTAACATCTCACCTATCTTTTACCCTGGGTTCATTGGGTAGAAAGCTGGAGGCCCAGATCTGACAATGCGGGTGAGGATTCGAGCAGCCCATAACGGCTCCTTTGTTCTCGAAAATTTGCACCCAAGTGTAGCGTTGACCAAGTTCCTTGACCTGCTCGATCCATCTACAAGAAACAGGTAATATTATATAATGACTAACTTATTTTAAGATAAATAAAAGAATGAGGCGTTACTTTGCTGAAATCCATTATATTAAAGTTGGTAAGAATTACCTCGCAGTTATCAGCACAATATAAAAAAATGATGTGTCTTACCTAGTTTGAAAAGCACCTCCCGCCTACCTCAACTGCGTGCACTAATCCCGTCACCACCAATCGCAACACCACTACACTAGGAAAAACACACCATCGACGATAATACGACACGTGTTTCGCCTCTACACGAGGCATCCTCAGGTGACTTAGCGGTCAGCCACCGTTGAGTATACATCACGTGAGTAGTGGTGACGGGGTTAGTGCACGCAATTGAGGAAGAGCGGGAGGTGCTCTTCAAACTAGGTAAGACACATCATTTTATTTTATTGAGCTGATAACTGCGAGATAATTCTTACCAACTTTAGTAACTTCATTTATATAAAACTCAAATCACAAACAAATTTACAATCCACCTGATGGTAAGTGGGCACCGCAGTCCATGGATACCAGTCGACACAAACATAGAAGGCTAATGACGCGTTGTCACCCCTGAGAACTAAGATGGAACGCCTTACAGCCTGTAATAATTATACTGGCCTCTATACCCTTTAGTCGGAACACTGCAGTTTCCATACTGAACTGCCTGGAACAAGTAAGTAGGAGAGTGACACAGACAGACTTCTGGGCAGAATCTACCACCTAGTCTTTTAATAAAAAATAGTGGTATCGAAGAATTACGAGATAGCGGCTCACTTGAAGGCAAATGACCAACGAAAGTGGATGTTCATTGTGGGCGATGACACACCAATAGAGAAAAATATCGTTCAGAAAAGAGTATTTTTCTAACTTAGTTAGTACATTGGGTGCGTTTGGCAGAAAAAAGCGCTAGCAAGCGTTTGTAAGCAAAATGGCGATCATAAGCGGTAAGCGCTGTCAAATCGTAAGTAGCTATTTTCCTCCAGGACACGATGTTAGTTTTAACCGGGAAACCTAACCTAATTTAAAATATATGTTTGTAAATTATTCATATTAAAAACTTACCAATCATGAATTTTTAATAACATATATATGTTTATTCATGTCATTATATTACTTAAAACTAATATTGCACAAAACAACTTATAAACTCTACTTCAAAACAAACAAATTAAATAAGCAAAATGGCGGATTGTGTCAGCGCTACTGAAGTAGCAATCGTGTCCTGGCCGAAAACTATTTCAGCGCTTATAAGCGCTTGCTAGCGCTTTTTTCTGCCAAACGCACCCATTATCAAACCAAGACAGCATATTTCTGACTTAATATGGTATAACGTCATCTATTGGACGCGTAGAATACTATAATACATACATAATGGAACGGGGGAGTGAGCCCACTCCCCCGTTCTATTTGTAGTTCTACGTATTGTTATATAGATAATTTATAGTTCTACGTATAGTTATATAGTTAATGTTCACTAACTATCTTCGGCTAGTTTTTATAATGTTACTATAAATGACTGTATACAGCGGAGGGGAAGAGAGATAGATGAACACGTGTTTCCGTGTATCCACTCTAGGGTGGATTTATGGTAGATAAATGGAATAACCCCTCTTACGACATCCACGGAATAGGACGGTAAAATGTATGACATGTTAAGTTATGACAGCGAGATTAGTAGTTGATGAATACTGCCGGTGCTTCAAATACGTTAAAGTATTAATAAATTATTAATACAGCAGTGTTTTTACTCACTCATTGATAACCGCGAGTATCTCGTCCATCGACATCAGAGGTATTGTCATCGTTGAATCGGGATGGAAGCACATGACTCTGGAATGAAGAGAATAATTTAATTTTGATAGAGTACCTGCAAACTGTGATTTTTTATAGGAAAAAAGTGACAAATGAGCACACAGTCCATCTAATGGTAAGTGGTTGCTGTGGCCCATAGATACCTACATCTATCATCGATAACCAAGCATAACGCAGATGCGCTGCAACCCGTGAGGACCAAGTGGAATGCTGTGTTTCCAGTAAAAAGGGTCTCCGGTTCTCTACACTCACCATACTAAACACAACAGCGTTAAGCTGCTATTTTACGCTGGTATTCTGTGAGAGCGTGGTACTTCCACATTCGGCCGGCTCATTCGTGCTAACTAATAGAGCTGCAGCATGGCTCCAGCACGTATAATATGGTATAACGCCATCTACTGGTTTATTATTAAATTGGTTTTTTATTTAACCTGTACCTGCGACTTTATATCGTTTGTAGTTCTCGGCATGAGTTTGAGTGCTGAAAACTTGGTAAGATTAACTATAATGTCCAGTGTTTATAATTATAAAAAATTTAGTTTTTCCTTGCTAGCTATCTTGCTCGCTGTAAACTTCAGAGTACGCGAGCACACCGAGTTTTATCCCCGCCGGCACCAATGAAATTGTTAATTGCAATTTTAGATACTGATTTAACACGTGCTCCGCAGTGAAGGAAAACATCGTGAGGAAACCTGTATCTCTGAGAAATAAGAAAAAAATATGTCAAAGACGTGAAGTTTGGCAAACGCGCATCGGCGCAGCATGGCGGACGCTTCCTTACCTTAAAACCCTCTCAGAAATGAGAGGAGGTCTGTGCCCAGCAGTGGGACGAACTTTAGTTTTCTCTTACAAGCTGTTCGGCATTGCAAAAAATGCACGACAGGAACTATTTATGAACCAAAATATTGGTGCAACAACATACAAACAACTAGTAGTTTTTTTTATAAATTAAGGGTGACAAGCAAGCACACAGCCTACCTGATGGTAAATGGATTCTGTGGCCCATAAACATCTACAATATGTAACGTAATTAACGCACTCCCTCAGACACCCCAATTAGTATATTATGTTATAATCATAATACACACACTGAATTTTTAGTTAAACAGTTTTATGCACTGATTATTTATCAAATTAGTTATACTAATTCCGGAAGAATGTTGTGGTCACAGTACAAATCCACGAACGCAAAGACTTTAATGTGCTTGAAATAAAGTTCATATTTCTTTATTTTTTATTGAATGACATAATTAGTAATAATACAAATAAAACCGCACTCTTAAAAATCTTATTGCCTTAAGTTACGGTCCATTTCAGTTTGTTTTGACTGTACAGATATAGTGTGACTGTAATTTACGTAGTTTTAATTATTTTTGGGATAAAAATTACCTATATTAAGAACGATAGGAATCGATTCAGTAAACGATTCTGAACAAACTACTTTCTCAAAGTGCGTTAATTATGTTACGTGTTGTATGTCTATCGATTAAGAATCAATATGCTTATGTGTACAATGTACATAGGTAACCATGTAAAATATAGAAGAGGTAGAGTTTCTATTTAAAATGAAATCATGAAGAAATATCATTATGAAAAATACACTTTAGTGAGCAAATTATTTTAATCAATAAAAAACTTTTACCTGCAAGTTCCCTTAGCTTGAGCTGCCTGGAACAATGGATGTTTTGGTTGGGGAGGTTCTGGCACCTCCTCTAGTAAAGCTGGGAAATCATTTGGGAATACATACGTCGATGTGTAGTCAGGGTTACGCTGCAATGTACAAAAACACATTGTCTAATAATTATATGACAAACCAACTCACATTCACATTTGATTGTAAGTGACACCTGCAACTAATTTCTAAAACAAAATCTCATGGATTGTCATCGCGACTTAGACTAAATACCCCTATTAATCAAAATTCATACAGTCCACCTGATGGTAAGTGGATGTTGTGTCCCATAGACTTTGTCACCCCTGAGGACTGGGATGGAAGACACTATACTAGAGATTTTATACGCGGTAGAGCCACACTGCAGCTTTTATGGTTGTAGCATGAATGGGTCGGCTCGACCGGGGTAGGACCACGCTCTCACTGAATACCAGTGTAAAATAGCAGCTTAATGCTGCTGTTTCGTATGGTGGGTGTAGAGAACCGGAGACCCGTTTTACTAGAATCGAGGCATTCCATCTTAGTCCTCAAGGGTGACAACGCATTTGCATTTTGATTTTTACCGAGGTTAAATGTAGATATCTATGGGCCACAGCTTCTACATACCATCAGGTGGACTGTGTGGTCATTTGTTACCCTTATCCTATAAAAAAGACACGTTTCCAGTAAAACGATCTCCGGTTCGCTACACACACCATACGAAACTCGTTTCATTAGATCATTCATTTTCAAGCAGTTGCCATGCTTAACTGGTGCATTAGCAACCGCCATTTTTATAAGTTTGAGTTGTTGACAGAAAGATATACTCGTAGTTGTAAATCTCCTGTTTCATTTTTTCTGTAGCCTCTTACGACACCCGGAATAATAAGTTATCTGATCAAAACTAAGAAGAATTATACGACTTTGTTAAGAGTCATGGTAATTGAGGGACTAAACTTTTTTATAGAATAAGGGCGACAAACGAGCACACAGTCCATCTGATGGTAAGTGGATGCGGTGGCCCATAGACATCTACATCTATCCTCGATTACGAATCAAAATGCAGATGCGTTGTCACCCGTAAGGACTAAAAGGGAACGCCTCGTTTCCAGTAAAAAGGGGTCTCCAGTTGTTTACACCCATCATATGAAACGCAGCAGCATCAAGCTGCTATTCTGTGAGAGCGTGGTCTTTCTCCGTGAAATTCGACTCATTCATACAGCAACCATAATATAGCTGCAGCGTAGCTATAACACGTTTTTTATAGGATAGGGTGAAAAATGAGCATACAGTCCATCTGATGGTAAGTGGTTGCTGTGGCCCATAGACATCTACATCTATCCTCGATTACGAATAAAAATGCAGATGCGTTGTCACCCGTGAGGACTAAGATGAAATATGCCTCGTTTCCAGTAAAAAGGGGTCTCCAGTTCTTTACACTCATCATATGAAACGCAGCAGCATCAAGCTGCTATTCTGTGAGAGCGTGGTCTTTCTCCGTGAAATTCGACTCATTCATACAGCAACCATAATATAGCTGCAGCGTAGCTATAACACGTTTTTTATAGGATAGGGTGAAAAATGAGCATACAGTCCATCTGATGGTAAGTGGTTGCTGTGGCCCATAGACATCTACATCTATCCTCGATTACGAATAAAAATGCAGATGCGTTGTCACCCGTGAGGACTAAGATGGAATGCCTCGTTTCCAGTAAAAAAGGGTCTCCAGTTCTCTACACTCATCATACGGAACATAGCAGCATTAAGCTTTTACTTTGCGCCGGTATTCTGTGAGAGCGTGGTCCTTCCCCCGGTCGAGTCGACACATTCGTGTTACAAACTATACTACTAATATAACTGCGGCATGGCACTAACACGTGTAAAAAGATCTGCGCAAATTCCACTCCCATCAGGAGCAATGAAATTGTTAATTGGAAATATCAGATCACTTTGACCCTACTCCTTGCCAGTGTGTATTTTTACGTCTAGCATGGTTTACTATTATACATAGTTACTTACTTGCTTTCTTAGTGGTCGTGTAAGAATATCCACTACACTATATTGTTACGAGCTTAAGGTTCGTGACAATCTGACAATAAAAACCGCCGATTGAATTACCAAAATTTATACTTTTATTAGAGTAGTTAAAAAAGTTAACACCAATTAAAACTTAAATCACACTAATAATTAATCACACTTAACACTTTAGTTCACTTTGTTTCGCTCCGAAGCTTCGCTCGTATCGCCAATTCAATACTGCCCCGATCGCGGCTATCAACGGCTTTATATAGGGCTCTTCCACCGGAACATCCAGAATATTCCAGCAAATACGGGCGCTGACCGACCAGCCGCAGAATGTTCGAGTGTGGGGCTTCTAGAAAGCTTAATTCTTCCATTTGTTACTAGATGGCGCTGTTGGGAGAGTTCCAGAAAGATGACACTTCTGTTTCTGATACTTGATACCAGGTGGCGCTAACACTGCCCCCTTCTAAGACATGCTCGTCCCGAGCATTATCTGTCCCATAATAACGCGCCAGTCGATCCACATGGACGATCTTAGGAGTACCTCTTGCGCCTTTCTGTATCCGGTAGGTTACATCGTTGATCCTGGTCACAATCCGGTACGGGCCGCCCCATTTAGCTTGAAGCTTAGGAGAATTCCCTTTGCTGCGGACTGGATTGTGCAACCACACTAGTGAACCTTCGTCGAACCCTTTGTTGTTCATTTTGCGGTCATACCGGGTTTTCATCTTTTCAGACATTAGCTGGCCCGATTGTCTGACGTCATAAATGTCATTCATTTTGTTCCGCAAGTCATTTGCATAATCGGTTATACTTCGTGGGGCATCAGGTGGTATCCCGGTGATCAGGCCTGCAGGCAGCCGTAATTCTCTTCCAAAGTTTTCGAAAGCTGGTGTCACTGATGTACTTTCGTGAACAGCGCTTCGATATGACAACAAAAATGGTTGTACGTGCTTATCCCAATCTCGTTGCCGATTGTCTACAACTTTTGCTAGGTACCTCTCCAATGTCTGATTGAATCGCTCTACCATTCCATCAGATTGTGTGATAAGATGTCGTTCTTGTTTTATGAGTACCCATAACTCGTTTCCTGGAATATTTGAGACTCAAAATTCCTTCCTTAACCGCTGTGAATCTCTAAAGGTACTCCAAAACGGCAGACTTCATGAACTAGTTTATCTGCAACTGTTGAAGCTTCTTGTTTTGGAATGGCGAAGACTTGTGGCCACTTAGTGAAGTAATATATCACCATCATGAAATACTTATTACCGCTTTCACTCTCCGGAAACGGCCCCGCTACGTCAATGGCTATTCTCTCCCATGGTGCACCAACATTGTACAACTTCAATGCACCTCTACTACGAGTCTGAGGTACCTTTACAGCCGCACAACTTGTACATTTGCGACACCAGTCCTCGACATAGTTTCGACAGTGAACCCAGTAAAACCGTTCTCGGATCTTCAGTAGAGTTCGTTTAACTCCCAGATGGCCTCCTGAACAATCATTATGGTACAGTTGTATAACATGACAACAAAATGTTCGGGGAGACAGCTGTAATTTGCAAATGGTTGTCCCTAAAGCTAAAGTACCGAACTTTAGCTTTAGGGACAACCATTTGCAAATTACAGCTGTCTCCCCGAACATTTTCCCATTTACGGCACAGAACTCCATCCTGAAGCAGCAAGCTGTCCCATTGGGCTCAATAGCTTTTAGTGGTCGAACTCATCGCTGAGACGTCGCTCCACTTGGGCTTGGGAGCACTGGCCTTCATCCATTCCAGAATCGGCTTGATGTCCGGATCTTGCTGTGCATGTTTTGAGCTGTCCTTCCACTCGTTGCTGGGGTGGTCAGTCCTGAGCATCCTCACGGATACCACTTCCTTACTCTCTTGCCTAGCACAATTTTTGCAATCTTCAGGACAAGGTCTTCTTGACAATGCATCTGCGTTGCCATGAGATTTCCCGCTGCGATGTTCGATCTCAAAGTCGTATTCCTGCAGCAGTTCAATCCACCTCGCAACTTGTCCTTCTGAATTTTTAAACTGCAATAGCTCTTTTAGTGCAGCATGGTCAGTTCGTAACTGAAATTTTCGCCCCAGAAGATATTTGCTAAAATGCTGCAACGACTTTACCACAGCTAGCAATTCGCGTCTTGTGACACAATAGTTTCTTTCCGGTTTTGACAACGACTTGCTGAAGTACGCTATAACGACCTCTTGGTAACCATTCTGTTGACACAACACACCGCCAAGTCCTATATCACTTGCGTTAGTGTCAACTATAAATTCTTTGCTTGCATCAGGTTATCCCAAAATAGGTGTTTTGCACAGACGGTCCTTGAGCTCCTGGAATGCGATATTGCAACTTTCATCCCAGCAGAAATTTCGCTTCTCCTCGGTTAGCTTGTGCAGAGGTTTGGCTATATCTGCAAAGTTCTTCACAAATCGCCGATAATAGGAGCACAAACCCAAAAATGCTCTAATCTGCGTCTTGTCTTTTGGAACCGGCCAGTCCTTGACAGCGGCGATTTTCTCCGGATTCGTGCAGATACCTTCTTCCGAAACTACCCTAACCCAAAAAGTTGACTTGCCGTTTGAATAGTGAACATTTCTTCGGACTCAACTTGAGGTTGGCACTCTGAATCTTCATGAGCACGCGTTCCAGGTTTTTAAGGTGTTCCTCAAACGTACGGCCCACGATGATGATGTCATCCAAGTAGACAAGACAGGCGTCGCCAATTAGCCCGGTAAGTACAAGTTCCATCAGCCTTTCAAACGTTGCTGGAGCATTGCACAACCCAAACGGCATTACTTTAAATTGCCACAGACCCTTTCCCGTCGAGAACGCAGTTTTCTCCTTGTCCTTAGGGTCAATTTCAACTTGCCAGTAGCCACTTTTTAGATCCAGCGTGCTAAACCACTTTACTCCTGTAAGCATGTCCAGCGTGTCATCAATTCTTGGCAAGGGATAGCTGTCCTTCTTCGTAACGTCGTTCAGACGGCGGTAGTCAACACAAAACCGCATGCTGCCATCCTTCTTCTTTACCAGCACCACGGGTGAACACCATGGACTAGATTAAGGTTCAATAACACCATCCTTCACCATTCCTTCAATCATGGCTTCCACTTCTTTTTCACGTGCTATCGGCAATCTTCTTGGTCGCTGGCGGATAGGAAATTCTTCTCCTGTGTTTATTTTGTGTTAAACTAAGCCGGTCTTCTCTATGTCAGCATCGTTTTTCGAGAATACATCGGCAAACTTGAGTAACAACTTCTTCGCCTTGACCATTTCATTCTGGGAGAGAACGCTGCAACAGTTAGCTAAAAGTGTGGTCACTCTCGTTTGTGCATCCTTGATGGAGGGGGGGGGGTGTCCCAGTCGATAGATATTGGCACTGTACCAACCAGTAACTTACACAAGTACCAACCAGTGAGCCTTTTTCTATAATCCGTTCCTGGTCACAAAGGTTCCATCCCCAAGTTTGAGGTCGTTCAGCGTTTTCTTCACGTCAGCCATCACGTTGTCAACCCGTAACACGTTGTTCACATGGTTGATTCGAGTTTCAGCTTCCGACAGGCGGTTGTCATGTTGAGCAACCCTATCCTTCACCTCCCTTATCTCATTCCCAAAGGTAGCGTGAAAGTCCTTCATGAGGAGCATCTGTTCTTCCGACCGACGAACCTGTTCCGCCTGCTGATCTTCCAACCGACGGGCCAGTTCCTCCTATCCGCGCTGCAGCTGCTCTTCCAACCGACGGACCTATTCCTTCTGTCGGCGGGCCTGTTGCTCCTGCTGCTTTTCAACTGACGGGTCTGTTCCTCTCGTCCGCGCTGCAGCTGCTCTTCGAATCGGCGTGCCTGTTCCGCTTGCTGACGGGTTTGTTCCTCCTGCTGCTCTTTCAACCAACGGGCCTGTTCCTCCTGTCGGCGGGCCTGTTCCTGCAGCATCATCATGAGAGCACCTAAGTCAGGTGCTGCAGGTGTAGGAGCTGCTGACGGGCCAGCCTCCGAGGCTGACAGTTGGCCCCCCGACGTCTGCGGCGTTGCATCACCAAATCTTCTCTGGTCCGTCTCCTGCTGGCGTTGACTTCGGGTACGGAAATCCTCCGTTTCCTCCTTAGGTAAAATTGGCATGATTTTATCCCACTTCTGACACCAATTGTTACGAGCTTAAGGTTCGTGAACAACTGCCGTGTAAAAAACTGCCGATTGAATAACCAAAATTTACACTTTTATAAGAGAACACCAATTAAAACTTGAATCACACTAATAATTAATTAGACTTAACACTTTAGTTCACTTTATTTCGCTTCGAAGTTGTTGGCGCTGTTAGGAGAATTCCAGAAAGATTTGACACTTCTATTTCTCATACTTGATACCAAATAGCGCCAGTGCCATCAACTGTGGCGCGAAACAATATCATTCCGTGGGTGTCGTAAGAGGCGAGAAACAAATTAAGAGGTAGGCAGCAACGTCTTTTTGATAACTACTAAAAATAAAAAGTTGCGGTTAGCAACCCACCAGCAAAGCGTGGCAACTATGGCAAAGTTTTCCCTATAAGGCAAAATATGGGGTCTCCCCCTTTGTTCAGCAGTGGAATTTTGATAGACTGTTATGGTAGTGGTAATGGATGGTTATACCAGTGGCGAAGCCTCCATAGAAGCCGAAAAGCCAGGCTTGCCCTTTTAAACTGCTCAATCAATAATATCAACTAATAAAATAACTCGCAAACAGTTACAAACTATTTCAAATTTCCTCCTCGTAGCCTTATTACGAGTATGTAACGTCAACACTTGGCAATTTGCTTTCAATTCGAAATACACTGATTCGTGTTCTCTCTGTCTCAAAGCGAACACGCAATGGACTGTCAAAATTAATAAAAGCGAGGAGTTGATTTAAGCTATTAGTCGTCTCTTTTGCACGCGTGGGTTTTTTACCGGGATTTCGAGAAGACGATCGCTCCCTTTCTAACCTGTGGCAAAATGTTCTATAAAGAAATATAACTACGAAATGTTTATATAGCAATTACTATGAAACCAAAAGCCGGGCTTTGCTACGAAGTTTGGGAGGGTGATCTGAAGTGAACGTTTGCAAGTTCACTTCAGATTTCAATGTTTATCTACTCTGTTTGTTTTTGTTGTGTCTGTTGTGAATTTATGCTTTTTAAAAAAAATTTTTGTGAAAATGGTGGATGGTGTTGTGATGAATTGAAATGTATTAATGCTAATCGGCGAGGAAAAGGTAAAATCTTTAAACTTTGTTGAGAAAATACACAAAGTCAAGAGCGTCTTTCGGACTCATCAATTATCGCAATTGAAAAACAGTTATTGGTACCAACATTTTACGCGGACGTGATCAAATCTTTCCTTAACCCTTTCGCTCTGACAGCGCGCGACATGTTATACTCCCGTTCGCTCGGGACCGTAATGGCGGGAAAATTTGCAAATTAGCAAATTTTTTGCTATATTGCAAATTTTGCTATATTTTCACTTTGAGACAATATTTATGGATAAAACTTACAGGATTTCTTGTTGAATGTATAAACTATCGAATAAAATTATTTTTGGTTGCTAGAAATTGTAATAAAATACATAAATTACCCTGTATAGCATAGTAGTACCATATACTTCAATTTTAGTGACAAAATTACTACTAATTTGAATTCTACACTTTTGTTTTTGGAGAAATTTATATGAAAATGTTTGGAAATATGTTTATTTTTATGTTTTATATGTTTCCATTCGTTACTCATACCAAAATATTGAAATATAAAAAAAAACTATAATAATATTTTATCTGTGTGACATTTAGAACAATATTTCAAAAATAATTATGTGTGAATTTGAAATAAATACAACGTCAAGTTATTTGAAATATATAAGAAAACTATTTTTACTTACATTTTACACTAAAAATAAATGAGAATATGAAAAATAACGCATTTATGACCCAGCCGCCATAATGGGCCTTCCAGATTTTGAAGCACTTTTGGCAATTTACTTTTCACTTTTTATACCACAAATTATATATCTACGTGTTCACTATATTACAAGGAATATAAAAAAGTATAATACTTTCGTTTTTAGTCCAGACACAATTATAAAATTCTATAAAAAAAGACGGAGCACATTCATCAAAACGACACGTGGAACGCCGAAAGTTCAGAGTGATTTCTTTTTTTTTTTCTAATAAACATTGCCAGGTTATGGTTTAAAATAAAAGAGCATATCTTTGTCTTTGATACTATTATCTATTGCATATTGTTTTTGGTTTTGTTTTAAAGGAAAAAGTAGTTTTTTCATAAGGCAGTACTTCTGATATTATCTGATCTAATTAGCCCCGTACTAGAGCGGGCGTAAGGTAGGTGTATTGTATGATCTGATTAGATTGGTAGCCGAGTGAAAGGGTTAAGAAAGAGAGACTATTCGGTTTAGAATTTAATAATTTGTTTTTTAATTTTGTACATAGTTTGTTTGTACTTTGTTTTATGTATACTATTGTGTGTAAATATTTTTTATTTCGCTCAAGCAAACCCAAACGACTTTTTTCAAAGCCACCCAAGATATACAATTGCTGATATGCCATATAATCTATCCAGCGGTAGTATGGCTACTGTGTGCTTTGTTAAACACGTGCTCGAAAGCCCTGAATATGAAACTGAAGAGTGGAGACAGATCACGATTGGTGTATTTTTATAAAACTGCTAAAAACAACAAAACCATAATATCTTGGGCTTGCCCTAGTTTGGAGCCCTAGTTTCGCCACTAGCTTGTACTATATGTTAGGTATATTGGAGTCTATCGAAGGTCGTGAGGTATTACACATACTTGCATCTGACGGTTCAAAATGAGATGATAGATTCACACACGCTGTCCAACGGCAAGTTAAAAGCTTTAAAAAATCGAAGATTGTAGTTACGTTTTACTACGGGGAGTGCTTCGGATTAATTCCAGCCACAAAATGCCACTAACATAGCGACGAAACTCAGAAGTTATTTGGATTTATTCCAGCCACAAAATTCCACCAACATCGCGACATAACTCAGAAGAATTATTCGGATTAATTCAAGCCACGGAATTTTACTAACATCGCGACAAAACTCACGCACCATTTACACCATTTGTATGTTTGGCGATCCACCACTGTGCGATTAACTAGGAGTTTACTTCACCACACGATTTATTAGTAGAATCGTCTACCACCGGCAATTTTTCCGGACCGATACGACTTAAGGACCTTGAAGCAAAGAGCTTACTCTTTTTTTAAAAGACAGGCAACGCACGTGCAATTCCCCTGATGTTGCAGTTTTTATGGGCGGCGTAGTTACTTAGCAACAGTAGTTACGCAAAATCGGGTGAGCCGCGTGCTCGTTTGCGCCCTTTTCATAAAAAAAGCTTCTTACCTGTCCGTTTGGCCTAACTGCGCCAGCTCTCAACGGATTGTTGGGATCTGGTGATGGTTCTTCGGGAGGTTGTTCTGTCTGCCCGCTCCACGGTCGGCGGCATCGATGTGGAGAAACTAAGATCCATTCGTCTTTCAGCGGATTGTATCTTACGTGCTGGTGTTCTGGAAAAGAAGCCCAATTGAGATAAGTCCTGAATCAGAAAATGCGCATTGCGCACGGGAAGCCTCAAAGACAAAGACTTTTATATATAACCTCTAAAAAACCATCCCCATGTTACGCAACACACACACCTATAAGCACGCGTACACGCACACGTCAACACAAATGCACGCGTACATACACGTACACTCTCTCTCTCTCTCTCACGCACGCACGCCCGCCCACCCGCATGCACGCACGAGCCCGCCCGCCCGCCCGCATGCACGCACGACCGCCCGCCCGCCCGCATGCACGCACACGCGCACACACCCACGCACACACACACACACACACACACACACACACACACACACACACACACAAACGCATTTGTTTTTCCAATAGGGAAATTTATTTATTTACTTGTTAATTCAGTCACCGGTCTGAATATTTTCCCCTCGCGTTCGCGTAAATAATCGTCTCAACTAAATAAATATATTGTGTCCAAAAACAAGTAGATTGCGCCCTCTAGTGTATTTTTTTTCAGTAATTCATAATCCCAACGCCATCTATGACAGAACAAAAGAAACTTCCCTCGTTTCGTCACCTAAGAGTGGCTCATATATGGAGTGTAGAAGTAAGGAGTACAGACTGTGTATTAAAAAGTGTCCATAGAAAATCGTTAAATAAGGGTGGCGCCACTATAGCTACGGGCTAAATTTTAAAGAACGTGCCGAAAAATATTAGTGGGATAGACGACTTTTTCGAGGTTATATTTACTAAATAAAATTATTTTAGATTTTAGAGCTACTGAGCAGTTTAGCAGCACACTTCAAACCGTCAACAACTGCTAAGTTCATTTCATCCCTGTAACTATTCCAGCGCTGTTGTGTAGAGTTTTTGAACTGTTATTTACTGCTTATGAACACTTTTTCAACTATTCTATTATGGGAGTTGGTACTCCTTACTTCTACACTCCATAAACACAAGTTTATATTTAAACCACAGAGTCTTTCTATATACCTGAAATAGAGACGAATCTCAAGCATAAAAAGTAATTCTAGAAAGTGCTGTCATCTGGTTGTGTCAGATGGAACAATTTATATTTATCATATAGTTATACTATTCACCTAGTATATATAGCTACTGTAGTCTTCTTTATACTACTTTCTTTATATTTTTTAGTTTTACTTATTCTAAGAAATCTATTTAAAGTTACGTATACAATTTCTTACAATAAGTATTACAAATTCTGATGTAAAAATAAAAACTCATTTCAGAAAGTTTAAGTGATTTATTAAATAAATCATCATTTTTACACTTGTGGAAATATTTTTCGGCTTTCATTTGAAATATATCTTCATTATCGTCACAGTCTCTTTTCCCACTGAGTATTTTATTTATATTTTGACACAATTGAATATGAAAAAGCGGCAAGACAAATTTAATAAATAATTAATTATTTTATTTTTATGTAAATTACCTTGCAAAAATTCTACATCAACATAAATTAGTATCAAGGTTTTTATTAAGTCTTTAACATTGTCTCTGCTTAAATTATTTTTTTAATGCCGAATTTGCTATGTCTTGCACTGAAGATACACAAACTATAACACTCAGTGGTGGGTCTGCAAAGCCACCGTTTACCTGCATATTCCCGAAATTTTATGATTTAATTTTCTTGTAAGGCGATTATGTTAGCAGTTTATATTAGTACACTTTCAGCATTATTTGACGTTTTATTTATAAATTTCATATAATTTAATATTGCTTTTGTTTCATTCCACATCTTATGGTTTTCAGAGTTTGATCTTGCTGGTCCAAGAAGAGGCTTTCCATGTCGTTTTTTTCTTTACTATAGCTTCCATTGACGGAATTGAATATTTGGACAAAGAAGAGAAGTACTTCAGCAGTTTCCTTACATTCTTTGGGAAGAATGCCTTTTTCTGAAAAACATAAAGCTAATTAATCCATTAATAAATGTAGCATTATCAGAGCATAGCAAGGTTTTGTAACTTTTTTCTTTTCGCCCAGCAGTAAACTTTGGCCGTATTCCTAAATATTCCCAGTATATTGTACTGGCGTGCCGCCGCCATATTGCGTCGGATAGCCTACCATATTAAAACAATTTTTAATTGCGTGTACACTGAATGAAGCATGCCAGAATTTGTTTTTATTTATTCAAATACAAAAAATTATAGAATTATTGCTGGCATCTTCATTCTGCACAAATTAATTGAAACAGGATATAATAACTTTTGGAGCACAAAATGACATAAAATAATCGCCAACACTTTTCCAATATGGCGCAAATGTATGACGTCATATACTGGCCAATGTTTTGAAACGAATCATCAGTACGGCGTCGAAATATGACATTTGCATTGGACAGTATACTGGGTTCTATTTCGGAACACACCCTTTAACAGGCCAATTAAAGTGTACGATTGGACTTGAAACAGTCATGCTTGGCAGTCAATCCTATGATCGTAGTTCTAGACGTGAACATGTTTAACGCAGCTTGTCCGTCGTCGATTTGGATATATTACGTCTGGCGTAATGAGATGGTTATACCCATAGAATACTATAATACATACATAATAGAAAGGTGGAGTGGGCGGAGCCCGTGTAGCCACTAAAATGTCACTAACACGTCAATTTACACGTATAAATATCAACACGAGATGTGTTTTGACGTAACAATCATTTCCAAATTTCGCATGCAAATTATTTAGAGAATACTAATTTGCACACTATTTACATATAAATAAGTATTATAATTTAAACGATTTTTTAATGATTTCGAACATTAATCAAATGTCTAAAATGTGTAATTAAATAAAACTAAACGGCTATGTTCGGCAGAATATCCGGCGGCCGGATATCCGGCGATATCACTGTGCGAATATATATATATATATATATATATATATATATATATATATATATATATATATATATATATATTTCGCGGAATATTTATTATAATATATTTAGCGGAAGGTTGCGAGGAAATTTATATTTTTATTTTTTATTATAATGGATTTCCGCAAAGTAACGCTTGATTCTATCATAATAGCTATCCGTTTCATCTCTAATCTGAACTTCAGATCAGTTTAGTGGTCGTAAACACTAACGCTGACCATACATGATCCTGGTCCACCACATGTGGGCCTGGGTTCGAATTCAGTATCAGACCAAAAATCAATTATTGGGTTTTCCTATCAAGAAATTCTCAATAGCAGCCTGAAGTCAGGTGGCCGGAGTTGTATCCGCTCCATGCGTCGGAAAACACGTAAACGGGTCAATTCTGCGCCTGATGACCCCCCCCCTTAGTCGTGTCGGCTTGCCGTCTGTCGTTGCCTCATAGTAGGGATATTAGTCAATAGTCATAGTTGCCATGCTTCGCAAGCGGGATTGCAACCGCAGTTACTTATCTTTTTCTTAATAGAAAACGGGTGACAAAACGAGCACACAGTCCGCCTGATTGTAAGTGGATGCTGTGGCCCATAGACATCTACATCTATCCTCGATTAAGAATCAAAACGTGGTAGCTCAGATGGTTAAAGCTCGCTGTAAATATAACAGAACGCGAGTAACCTGGGTTCGATCCCCGCCGGCACCAATGAAATTGATAATTGCACCACGTGCTCGGCGGTGAAGGAAAACATCGTGAGGAAACCTGCATGTCTGAGGAATAAGAAAAAAATAAAATATTTCGAAGACATTGAAGTTCGCCAACATGCATTGAGGCAGCGCGGCGGACACTTTCTTGCCCTAAAACCCTCTCAGAAATGAGGGGAGGCCTGTGCCCAGCTGTGGGACGTATTTAAGGCTGTAACTTTAAGAATCAAAACGTAGATCGGTTCCAGTAAAAAAGGGTCTCCGGATCTCTACACTCACCATACGAAATACAGCAGTATTAAGCTGCTATTTTACGATGCTATTCTGTGAGAGCGTGGTCCTTTCCCGTTCGAGCCAACCAAATCGTGCTACAACCATAATACAGCAGTAGCGTGATTCTACCACGTAAAAAAATCGTTATCAGAAAGATGGTACTGCCCATTTCCATTTCCTCTCCTCCTTATTTATTTTATTTATTTTTATATTTTTTTATTTTATAGGAAAAGGGTAACAAGCGAGCACACAGTCCACCTGATGGTAAGTGGTTGATGTGGCCCATAGACATCTACATCTATCCTCGATTACGAATCAGAATGCAGATGCGTTGTCAGCCTTGAGGACTAAGATGGAATGCCTCCTTTCCAGTAAAAAGGGTCTCCGGTTCTCTTCACTCACCAAACGAAACACAGCAGCATTAAGCTGCTATTTGACGCTGGTATTCTGTGAGAGCGTGGTCCTTCCCTGGTTGAGCCGACCCATTTGTGCTACAACTATACAATTAATATAGCTGCAGCATGGCTCTACCACGTAAATCCCTCTGATATACTACACAACCCCCCACCTATCACTTACACACATTATACGAAACAACGTTTACGATACGTACCATGGTATGAGTGAGCAACGCCTTCGCCCACTGCATCGGGCTCGTCGTCGGCGAGTGGCGGTGGCGATGGTAACGCGCCACTGTTACTCGCCGATTCGCCAGTTGGTGAGCTTGGCGATGACACATCTACTGCGGATAAAACACTCTCATTCGACTAGTGCCGCTACAGCTTTATACGCAGCGTGCACTTGACTACGTTACGTACGTTGACTGACTAGTGATCGTATACGCTCAAAGGCATTTAATTAGTAGTAATAGACCGGACATCAGCAACAAAATTTTCGTCTGTAACTTTTGTCCTGTAGGATATATCTCCGATTTTTGTCATTTAGTCTTAGTGACATCGTCAAAAGGTCAAGACACATTCGTTTCATAATTCAAAAAAATATTTTTAAAGAAAATATGTACGGTTGGGCATTAAGATATTGTAAGTCACGATATGGAGCAAAAAAATAAACGCAATTTCGGTTTATTATCCTAAGAATAATGTACATTTATCTAATAATCTTTAATTTTTATTATTTCTAGTAGATTCTTCAAGAACATTTATTATTTTTGTAATAAGCGCCCAATGTTGTTAAGTAACGTCACTATTTATTCACCAATGTGTTAGTGCTTGACGACGTGCCTAAAACTGATTTTTACCTTATATTTAGTAACGTCACCTAACGGGGAATAGCTACAATGTTTTTCAAATAATTTTCAAATAAATATTCAGCGTAGTATTGCTAGGTTACGACAGAGGGCGTAACACACGCGCAAATTCACAGTTTTTGTATGCAAATGTTTCCAATGTCTGCTCTATAGTATATATATTCAAGTCTCTTTGTATACGCTATTACTGATCATGATGTCTCGGGTACGAATACCGGGTCGGACCAAATTCAATTATTGGGTTTTTCAGATTGAGTCAGGAAGTTGGAAGTGTTTCATCCCAGTGCCTCGGAAAGGACGTAGACCCGTTGTTCTTACGTCTGATTTGCACCGGTTGCGGCGAATTGCCGTCCCATCGGACATGAGAGTCATAGAATACTATAATACACAATAGAATGGCTGTCAACTTTATTTTGTACGAGGATTGGCGTCGCCAAACCTGATTCGCTGTGTTGACAGAGTAAATTTACACAATTTGATTAATGTTCAAGATCATCATTTAAAAAAATCGTTTAAATTTTAATACATATTTATTTGTAAATAGGGTGCAATTTTGCATTTTCTAAATAATTTTCATGCGAAATTTGGAAACGATTTTAACGTCAAAACACATCTCGTGTTGACATTTATACGTGTGAATTGACATTTTAGTGGCTACACGGGCTCCGCCCATTCCCCCGTTCTATTATGTATGTATTATAGTATTCTATGATGAGAGTAAAGGAATAAAGAGTGCACCTGTGCTTCAGAATACACTCAGGCACATTAATCATGTTCTGCGCCGGCCGCCATTATTATTTATTATTATACGCAACGTAAGGGGTTTCCGTACGGTGAATACGTAAGAGAATATATTAAGCGCCCTGTACCTCCAGAAAATAACTATCAATCAGTTTTTATCGAATTGAAGCGACAAAAGAATATGCAGTCCACCTGATGGTAGGTATAGCTATTGTAGCCCTTAGACACAGCCACCAAGTTCAAAAGAAGGGTTTTTTCTTATAGGAAAAGGGTGACAAACGAGCACAAGGTACACCTGATGGTAAGTGGATGCTGTGGCCCATAAACATTTACATTTAACCTCGATTAAGAATCAAAACGCAGTCACCCCTGAGGACTAAGATGGAATGCCTCATTTTCAGTAAAATGGGTCTTCGGTTCTCTACACTCACCATACGAAACACAGCAGCATTAAGCTAGGCTCTACCACGTATAAAAAAAGGTAAAAGGGCAGTGGATCCGTATTTCGGGGAGCACGCAATGCCGTTAGTCTTGCGCCTGATCTTCACCGGTCGTGGTGAATTGCCGTCTCATAGGACTCTGGGAGTGAGGGAACAGAGTGCACTATAATTCTGTGCAGATGGCTAGCCTTCATTGGGACTGGCTGCCATGACTGAAATTCAGTCTGGTGGACACTTGGTGTTACCAGTTATTAAAACTTTAGCAATAAAGATTTTTATTTTTTATGTATATACTTTTTTTATTATTTATTTATTTAATTGGATTACCAACGATTGTTACACCAGTAAAAATAAAAATATTAATTGCTAAAGCTTAGTATCTAGGACATAATGCACAATCAATTATATATAGGTAATCATCGCTTACACAATGAAACACTAAATAAAAAAACTAAAAGCTATATCGCTAAAATCGTTTTTTTTTTTAATTTAGTTGTTGTCATACAATGTACGTCAAGGATTTGGCGATGGTCACAGTATTTGTTGTAAATATGGCTCATTCTAGAGATAGAGAAATTTGATCCTAGTAGCGTCCTACGGAATGAGCATAGTAGAGGCTTGATAGGACGAGATGTTCTCCGCGCCACTCTAAAGCAAAAATTTGAGAGAAGTTGTAGATAGCATACGTAGTTTCTAATAATATTATAGAAGAACATTAGATCAGTTATAGCTCTTCGCATGTCCAGTGATTTCAACTTAAAGTATGCTAATGATTTAGAGTATGAATAGGGATTACTCAGCTTGCTAATGGAGTACGATAAATGATAAATGATTTCATCATGCATCATGGTAATTAATTTATCATTACAATCTACAAAGTCAACTGTTGAATGTAGGTCTCCCCTTAGATTGGCTCATATGGTGGATATTTTCCACAAAGGTTTTTAATTGTCTGATTTTTATTCACTACAGATATTCTCTTTAACATTTTTGAAAGTCTATCCTTTTATTCACTTCTGTACAGTTGTACCGGTACTTTCTGACCTCGGCATCCACTTCCCATCAGGTCAACTTAGCGTGTACTCGTTTTTTTTAATCAGTAAAGATGACAAATGAATACACAGTCCATCTGATAATAAATGGATACTGCGGCCCATAGGATTCTTTATGTATTCTCGTTAAAGAATCAAAATACAAATGCGTTGTCACCCCTGATACCATATGATCACCATATGAAACACTGCAGCATTAAGCTCCTATTTTACTCTGGTTAACTCCAGCTTTAATTATGTTTTACTATAGGCAGTCCTACGAGCATAACCTTAATGCTTGATTTTATTAATTCATTCATGTTTTCATTCACTACAGCCTATCAGTCCATTGCCAAACATAGGCTTCTCCATACGGCTCCATAAGTTTTCTCACAAGAGGAATATATGCTATAGTTGCCAAGCTTGCCAAATGCTGGCAATCGCAGTTTTTCATTTCAGATTTAACAATAAAAATAAATTAACTATATTTTAATGTACTCATCGTCGTTATTAATTTAAAATGAAATTAATCCTTTCAGCCTTTATTTCACGAGGTATTAAGTCTAGTATAAGGAAAAGCTTACTGGTATGAAATTCAAGCTACAAACTTTGTGCACAATGCCATGCTCGGTTAGTTTATTCTCTAATACATACATATACATAAACACTCACGCCTGTCACCCAGAGGGGTAGGCAGAGACTACAGACTTCCATTTAGCACAATCCAGACATACCTCTCCCGCCTCTTCCACATCCATATACCTACGCATACATGCTCGTCGGTTAAGGGTACTTTTAATTTGGCCCATTTTTAATATATCGCCAATTTGATCGACAAACTTTCGCCTAGGACGTCCCTTTCCGACTCTTCCATTCACTTCTGCAACATATATTTGATCTGTCAGTCTTTCCTCATTTATTCTTTCTACATGACCAACCCACCGAAGCATTCCTTGCAAACCACACTCTTCTATATCACACAGTTTCTCACCCAGTCACTCAGATTCAGCCCTAACATACTCCTTCATCATTCATCATTACAGCCCTTCACAAGTCCACTGCTGAACATAGGCCTCCCCCAAGTAACGCCACAAAGCACGGTCCTGAAACACCTGCATCCATCGACTTCCTGCATGTCTTACCAGGTCGTCACTCCATCTAGTGGGGGGTCGCCCTACACTACACCTACCGGTACGAGGCTGCCACTCGAGAACCTTTCATCCCCATCGGTTATCAGTTCTTCGGGCTATATGGCCGGCCCATTGCCACTTAAGCTTACTAATCCGTTGGGATATGTCGGTCACTCTGGTTTTACTGCGGATATCCTCATTTCTGAGTCTATCACGCAGAGAAACTCCGAGCATAGCCCTCTCCATAGCTCGCTGAGCGACCTTGAGCGTCCTCATACGGCCAGCAGTGAAGGACCACGTCTCTGATCTGTAAGTCATCACTGGCAACACGCACTGGTTGTACACTTTAGTTTTCAGAGATTGAGGTACACCTGACGAGAAGATGTGTCGTAATTTCCCGAACGCTGCCCAGCCGAGTTGAATCCGTCGATTGACCTCTCGGTCGAGGTTGGACTTACCTAGTCGGACTATTTGTCGCAGGTAAACGTACTCATCAACAACTTCGAGCATAGTGCTCCCAACAACTACCGGCATAGGTGAGACATGGACATTAAACATGATTTTTGTTTTGTACATGTTCATCTTAAGACCTATCCGTTGGGAGACACTATTGAGGTCATTGAGCATAGTGCTAAGATCCTCCAGCGATTCTGCCATAAGGACTATATCGTCGGCAAATCGAAGGTGAGTGATGTACTGTAACATACTCCTTAGCGACCGCTTTTCTACCGCATTTATACTAATACAGAATTGTGAATTGCCATACGTGCCACATTCTGACTTTTCACAATAGATTTGCCAAATTTGTAGAGAAGGTTCAGATAAGGAATAAAGGCAAATGGTGATTCTAATGCATTTCAAAAGATGTGGAGGATCATATAAAGGAATAGTCTCTTGATTTTAAGTTACATAAACAGCTACTTTGTAACATAATAAAAGAAACTGTTCGCGCCCGATAGTAGATCGTCTTATCTCGAGCGGGGTGAAGTAACGATTAGCGAGGTGCGGGAGGCGGAGGTTCCTATATGGAGGGCTAATATATTTGTGCGTCGAAGGGACAATCTTGAGTTATCTTATATTAACTTGCGTTAATGGAGCGCGCTATTTGCATATATTATTGAATATTAGAATATAACCTGGACTGCCTCGAATTTAGTGCCTATTTTGATCGTGTTAAGTGACGGAGGACGGCTGGGAATTTGTAGTGATTAAATGAATTTTCATGCAGTTAATTGAATCGACGCGGTGACAGTTTTGCTACGGTGGCCTGTGACATTGAACTTTGACCAGCCGTCCTTGAATTGTACCGCGTGTTTCGGTTAAAGTCGATGGACTTGATTTGTTTGAACTTGAAGGCAATTAATTAGATAATAAAGTGATAAACGAACATAGTTTCCTAGAATCTGAAGTGTTCTCTGTGGCTGAATGCCCCTTATATGGATCCCATATTGGAAGAGAGGTGAAGCCTTTGGTTCTGCTGTTCTGCAACCAGCGGGGAAGTTAGGTTACACATTGAACACATACTAAACACAACTCCAACATGCACCCACTATTCCACCTGAATTTTCCTATGGTTAACCCTACTTCGACGGTAAAAGTTAAGTTTTGTTTGGTTCTTTGTTAGCCGATATAGCTTAATATTCCACAGGTCTTTTGACCCTCCCCTTTTGTCTACTCGTCGAGTGGAATTCCTCATGGGCCCAAGTTCCGATCGGCTATTGTCAGGGTAGCCTGGGGTAGTAACAGAAACATTCATGCAGTTAACAGTAGTGAAATGCAAACCTTTTATAATTACCTGATAAGGTTGATGGTTTTGAAGTCTCTATTTGCCTAAGTGGCCTTCTTTCAGAGTGTGTAAATATTGGCAGAGATATTGGTTCTGAAAAATACAATTAAATGGTTTAATCATTAAGCTTAACTATACTTTAATGTAGCAATGAACATTCGATTGCTTAAACATTTAAAATGTGATTTACTGATAGGTAGCAATACATATTTAGATGGCAACTCATCAACTAATGTTTGTCTTTGCAGCTGTGTTATAGTTGTAACACAGTAGTGGTAACTGCCTCGTTGGTCTAGTGGTGGTAGTAGTGCGATTGCTGATCATGAAATCCTGGGTTCGAATCCTGGGTTGGGCCAAAAAAAAATGAATTATTGAGTTTTTCTGTCAAGAAATTCTCAGTAGTTGCCCGGAGTCAGGAAGTTGGCGGTGTATCACCCCCGTGCCTCGGAAAGCACGTAAAGCCGTTGGTCCTGCGCCTGATCTCTCTCCGGTCGTGTCGGTTTACCGTCCAATCGGATTATGAGAGTGAGGGAATAGAGAATGCACCTGTGCTTGCGCATACACTTGGGCACTATAATCCTGTCCTGCGCTGATGGCTAGCCTCCGTTGAGGCAGGCCGCCGTGGCCGAAATTCGATCTAGAGGACATTATAGTAACACGAATGTGTCTGCATGACCGGGGAAGGACCACACTCTCACAAAATACCAGCATAAAATAGCAGCTCAATGCTGCTGTGTTTTGTATGGTTCATGTGAGAACCGGATACCATTTTTACTGGATATGAGGCATTCCATCTTAGTCACAGCACATCTTAGATCTTCTACGACTATCTTAGAGCACATCATACACTTACCATCAGTTGGGATGTGTGCTCGCATATCACCCTATTATATAAAAAAAATCATAATTTTTGTGTACTATAAGTTGTAAATGCCGTGTAGTGGCGGTTGAGAATATCCACTACCCCATATCTTCCCGTGGGTGTCGTAAAAGGCGACAGAGGGAGACAGGCAGCAGCATCTTCCTGATAACAACTGTGACGTAATAAAAAACTGCGGTTGCCAACCCGCTCGCCAAGCGTGGCAACTATGGCAAATACCCCCCAATGAATAAATACACAAACAGACGGCCCCCAGTCCCCGGCGGCCCCGCTATTCCTGGCTACGGTGGCGACCATGGTAACGGCGGGGCAGGGGGTGCTAAGAATCTCCGGTGGAGGTTCGGTTGCCACCTACGACGACTCGACCTGGCAACATATAACGCACGCACCCTGAGGAGTGACGAGAAGATACTAGAGCTGGAAGAAGAGGTAGACAAGTTGCGCTGGCATATTATTGGATTATCCGAGGTCCGAAGAGAGGGGGAGGACACGGCAATCCTCGAGTCCGGCAACTTGTTCTATCACCGGGAGGGCGACCATCTGTCCCAAGGAGGTGTCGGATTTATCGTCCACAAGTCTCTCGTCAACAACGTTGTAAAGATTGGGAGTGTGTCGACGAGGGTCGCGTACCTGATACTCAGAATCACCAAACGGTATTCGCTGAAGGTCATTCAGGTTTACGCACCAACCTCGGCACATCCCGATGAGGAGGTGGAGGAAATGTATGAGGATATTTCCAGAGCCATACATTCCTCCAAAACCCACTACACGGTGTTGATGGGAGACTTCAACGCAAAACTAGGCACAAGAGAAAGCGGTGAGCTGAAGGTAGGGAAATTTGGAGTAGGGCAACGGAACCGAAGGGGCCAGCAGCTGGCCGACTTTATAGAGAAAGAGGGACTCTTTATGATGAACTCTTTCTTCCAGAAGCGGCCCCACAGGAAGTGGACCTGGTCGAGCCCCGACGGTTCGACAAAAAATGAGATTGACTTCATTATGACGACCAGACGCCAACTGTTCAGTGATGTCTCAGTGATCGCAAGGGTGAAAACTGGCAGCGATCACCGAATGGTTAGAGGCACACTGAACCTAAACGTTAAGTTGGAGAGGTCTCGTCTAATGAAGTCAACACTCCGTCCCCCTCGTGCTCTAATCCAGAATCCCGAAACCTGTCAGCTCGAGTTACGTAACCGCTTCCAGTGCCTAGAAGATTGCAATGCAGTGGACGATATGAACGACAAGCTCGTGGAAACTGTCCATGCGGTCGGAGCTAAGTTCTGCAAGACCCGCCGCAGAAGAACACAAAAACTCTCCGATCACACTCTTAATCTCATGGCTGTTAGACGGGAGATGAGGCTGCAATCGTCAACAGATTTGACAGCATACAGGCAACTGAACAGACAGATCTCCAAATGCATGCGGCGAGACTTACGCAACTTTAATACTTCTCGTATTAAAGAAGCGATCGAGCGGAACCAGGGCTCCAAAGTCTTTGCCAGAGATCTGTCTGCCAGAAAGAGCCAACTGTCAAAGCTGAAGACTGAGTGTGGCAAAATCGTTTCCGGGACACCTGAGATTTTGAGTGAGATTGAGAGGTTCTATGGGCAGCTGTACACATCATCGTTGGAGCCACACGTAAATGTGAGTAACGATCCAAGAGCAAGTCTTATCCGACACTATTCCGATGATATCCCGGACGTCAGTCTGAGCGAGATTAGAATGGCTCTCCACCACCTTAAAAACGGCAAGGCCCCGGGCGAGGATGGAATTACAGCGGAGCTTCTGAAAGCGGGTGGAAAACCGGTACTTGAAGTCCTTCGGAAGCTCTTCAATTCCGTCCTCCATGGTGGCACTACTCCGGAGGCGTGGAGCAGAAGCGCGGTGGTTTTGTTCTTTAAGAAAGGCGACAACGCTCTCTTGAAGAACTACAGACCGATTTCCCTTCTGAGCCGCGTCTACATGCTATTTTCGAGAGTCATTACGAATCGTCTCGCACGCAGACTCGACGACTTCCAGCCTCCCGAACAAGCCGGTTTCCGAAAAGGCTTCAGTACCATAGACCACATACATACCCTGCGGCAGATTGTACAGAAGACCGAAGAGTACAATCTGCCACTTTGCCTGGCATATGTGGACTATGAGAAAGCCTTTGATTCCGTCGAAATTTGGGCGGTGCTACAGTCCCTTCAGCGGTGCCAAGTTGACTGTCGGTACATCGAAGTGCTGAAGTGTTTGTACAGTAGGGCTACGATGGCTATCCGAGTACAGAACCAGAGTTCGAAACCTATCCAACTGCAGAGAGGTGTAAGACAGGGTGATGTTATATCCCCGAAACTCTTCACCGCTGCGTTGGAAGACGTTTTCAAGCTACTGGACTGGAAAGGATACGGTATTAACATCAATGGCGAGTACATCACTCACCTTCGATTTGCCGACGATATAGTCATTATGGCAGAATCGCTGGAGGACTTAAGCATTATGCTCAATGACCTAAATAGTGCCTCCCAACGGATAGGTCTTAAGATGAACATGGACAAAACAAAGATCATGTTTAATGTTCATGTCACACCTATGCCGGTAGTTGTTGGGAGCACTATGCTCGAAGTTGTTGACGAGTACGTTTACCTGGGACAAATAGTCCGACTAGGTAAGTCCAACTTCGACCGAGAGGTCAATCGACGGATTCAACTCGGCTGGGCAGCGTTCGGGAAATTACGACATATCTTTTCGTCAGGTATACCTCAATCTCTAAAAACTAGATTGTACAACCAGTGCGTGTTGCCAGTGATGACTTACGGATCTGAGACGTGGTCCTTCACTGCTGGCCGTATGAGGACGCTTAAGGTCGCTCAGCGAGCTATGGAGAGGGCTATGCTTGGAGTTTCTCTGCGTGATAGACTCAGAAATGAGGATATCCGCAGTAAAACCAGAGTGATCGACATAGCCCAACGGATTAGTAAGCTGAAGTGGCAATGGGCCGGCCATATAGCTCAAAGAACCGATAACCGATGGGGAAGAAAGGTTCTCGAGTGGCAGCCTCGTACCGGTAGGCGTAGTGTAGCGCGACGCCCCACTAGATGGAGTGACGACCTGGTAAGACATGCAGGAAGTCGATGGATGCAGGTGGCTCAGGACCGTGCTTTGTGGCATTACTTGGGGGAGGCCTATGTTCAGCAGTGGACTTGTGAAGGGCTGTAATGATGATGATGATGATGACTATAAGTTGATTTTTTATAAAGAAAATATATTGTATATATAAATACTTAGGCGAAATGATGACATCCAATATGTATAGCTTTGAATATTCCTGACCGTCCGCGAGGAAGTGGACGACCATGTGCCACCTGGTGGTCAAACATGCAGAAAGAGATCCTAAGAGAAAACCTGAGTACACCGACAAGCCAGAGTAGACCTCTCTGGCGCAATTGTACAAGGAGACCCGACCCCCAGCTAAACTGGGAAGAGGGTTGGACAAAGAAGATTGTATATATAAATATGCTGTGTATTGTGGCATAAAATCATTTCTACATAATATGCTATAATTAGAACTGAGATATCACAAAGCTTACTTGGCAAATTTATTGTTGGCACTGCAATATTACTTATTCGGTTATTTCGGCAGCAAAACTTCTCATCAAAGTGAGCATGGCAAACACGGCGTTGTTTAAAAATGTACTCATTATCGAAACCAAGAATATCCCCTCCAATAGATAAAATCCACTTGTTGAAACGCTCAGTCTCAGTTGGGTTAGGAAATAAATGAAGCTTCTTGTGTGATTCTGAAATTTAAAGATTACGAATATTTAAAGAAACAATTTACAAATTTATAATATTGCTATATCATTCTTACAATAACTATGTTTAAATTCACTCTAGTAGGCTCTTATTCTTGAAAAAAATATTCTATAGTAAAAATATTAATTAATAAGACTCGGAAGTTTTACAAAAAGTGTCCTTTCATTAGGTTTTATTTTTGTTACTTAAATTATGTACCTTAACACTGTAAATAGTCCACTGTGGGACATAGGCCTCCTAACTAAGGTGGACAAAGGAGGATTTGCTACAACAAGCCACGCCCAAAGTGGTACTTGCAGTACCCAGACACTTCTCAATTAGATGCTTGCTTCCCATCATCGGTCTGCTTAATTTTTGTTTGGTTCTTTCCAAGAGAGGTTATCTCACATTCACTTAGTTGATTCTTACAACACATATGGGATGTTAGATTTTTGTGCCAATACCAAAATTCTTTTAACCAACTTTAAAAACGAGGAGGTACTCAATTTGACTGTATGTTTTTTGTGTGTTACTATAGAATTTTTTCTGCGTGAACCGATTTTGATGATTCTTTTTTATTGAAAGCTGGTGTTTTTCATTGTGTTCTCATATAAACTTGATCAAGTACTGATCAGTAATTTTTGAGTTATCCTTAATAATGTCTTTAGTAAGATGTCTTTAATAAAATCTTTTACTTTGACTACATTGATGATGTTCTCATTTTATTTATATTAAAAATGTTTACACAATTTTTTTTATTTTACTCATGTTCCTATTGAGTTTTACTGATATTGTATTGAACTAAGAGTATAAAAAATCTTTACATAAAGTTTACAAATAAATAGACCTCTAAATGAAACTGGTGGTTTTCTTATGTCAAGTTGTTGTTTTAGTTTTGTCTATACACATGCATTCTAATACAAGTACAACCAATTGTGCCAAATATTTAATGTAAAATATTTATTATTAAACTTATATTTACAGTACATTTTAACTATTAAAAAAACCGGCCAAGAGCGTGTCGGGACATGCTCAGTGTAGGGTTCCGTAGTTTCCCGTCCGTCACAATAAGTGTTTCCACTTATGAGTTTAAAGGTATTCATTACGTTCGAGCTCCAGCAGCGCTCCGTGCTCCTGCAACTGCTCCCGGTAGTGGGTACTGTTGTTTCCATCCAAGTTCAAAATGATTTTCCTAGAAAACCCTTATAAAGTTCACTTTTCAGATTTTTTTCATATTTTCTAAACTTATGGTTCAAAAGTTAGAGGGGGGGACACAATGTTTTTTACTATTGGAGCGATTATTTCCGAAATTATTGACATTATCAAAAATGATTTTCGTAAACCCCTATTCATTTTTAAATACCTTTTCAACAATGTATCACACGTTAGGGTTGAAATTAAAAAAAATCACTTCCCACTTTACATATTGGGGGGGGGGGGGTACCCTAATAAAAAAAATTTTTTTTTAATTTTTATTTTACCACTGTCGGCGTTATTGATACACATATTGGTACCAAATTTCAGCTTCCTAGTGCTAACGGTCACAGAGGTTAAGCGAGGACGGACAGATGGACAGACAGACATGGCGAAACTATAAGGGTTCCTAGTTGACTACGGAACCCTAAAAAACTACACAATCATCATTACCATCGTTACAACCTAATCATAACTCTATCTATTGGAGTGGTTCTAAATCACAATCTTACATTTATTAAATTATAATGATATAATAAACCTTTCACTATCTCGTGCACTACATAAGTTCATTGCTATTGTTTTATAAGTCTGCAACTGGACAGTGAGGGTTAATATGGATATCACCCTACTGCCGTTCATACAAGGCACAACACTGATGCAAGAGAATTTTGACAACATTTTTAATTTAAATTTTATCAAATAACGGAATTATACTCACTTCCAGATTCCACGCAGCCTGGAAGCTGGAACACAACACTTTTTACTAGACATTGTTGGAGAGTCCCCGTCTTTAACACAACACCAAAAATATCTTTTTCTCAAAAACTCAATAATATGTCAGACTGGAGGAGTTTGCACTCTACTCAACAGCACTAACAAAGAAAAGGCTCATCTTCCACGGAAATTATCACACGATATACAAAGAAACGCAAAAGTCACAACCAGTGAAACAAATTATCAAGGGTAGACATAGAGATAAATACCTAAGGGTAGATAATAGAAATTAGAAATATAATGTAAACAAATGGATGGTAGGCATGTCGATCTGAGATCGATTAATCAAAGAATCGATTTCCTGTGTCAAAAAGATCAATTTTTAAATCGATATATAGTTCTGAATCGATCCAGTAAATTTTATTATTTATTATTTAGTTATTTCAGCCTAGAAAATAGGGATCAAATCTTTTTCTGTTTTCATAAGAACTATAAACTGATTTACAATTAGTTTTTCTATACAAAAACTCGCAAAACTGTTGTGTGCCCGGTTTCTTTCGTCTCTTCTTAATGGATTAAAGAAATAAAAAACAAGTTACGTTTATAATCAGTACTTTGTTTTATCTTTTAATATTGTTTAAAATAGAAACTTTGAAAGCAAATCGAAATAAGATTGATTTTTGAGAAATTGATCTTTTAGACCTCGTTTTTTTTGTGAAGCGATTCATCAGATTTCAATTCATATCGATTTAAAAATTGATCTTTTTCGGAAAGAATCGACATCCACCAGCAATTGGCGGCAAATCTATTTTTTTATTAACCGTCTTTACGGCTCTGAGTTCTAGCCCTTCTGAGCCTATCATTTATTTTTTTATATACTGGTATCTTCATTTTTATATTTTTCTTCACAGTATGCTAATGCGTCACATTGCGAAGTTTTTGGGAGATTTTGACGACAGCTTAACCCCACGGACAACTAATAAGTATAATATATATATATAAGACGTCTGATGTCTAATATAATATAAATAAGACGACAGCCACTCAATTTCATAAGGTAGGCTAGTAATTTGAGGTTTATATCAACATCAAAGCACTTGTTTTGTCGTTTTCTCTAACAGTGAACTGTTAACGCGCGGGCACTTAATTCACAAAATCGCATCAATTTTACGAATTAAAATCCACTTCAAACCATTATTCAAGCGACAAAACAGGAGCGACAATCCGTCGACGGCTAAGTTCCCACCAAAACCCCGGCAAATCTAACCATACATAAACCTATAGAGTATAGAGGTAAGGAGGACAATCTCCCATAAGAGAATAGTTGAAAATGTGTCCATCTGTAAACTGTTCAAAAACTCTCCACAACAGCGCTCGAGTAACTTCAGTGTATGATAAGTCACCGTAAAATACGTTGAGAGTGATTTTAAACATAAAAATTTTGAAAGCAATAAAATAATTTTATTGTAAAAATAATTATGGTGAAAGTCTTTGCAATAAAAAATTCATAAAAAGTTCTTTAAAATTTAGACTGTAGCTACAGTGGCGCCACTCTTATTTAACGCTTTCCTACGGACACTTTTTTTATACAGAGTCTGTTTCCATATATTTTTTTTATAGAAGAGGGGCAAACGAGCATACAGTTCACCTGATGTTAAGTGAGTACCACAGTCCATGAACAACCGCAACACCAGGGGAATTGCATGTGCGTTGCCGGCCCTTTAGAAAGGAGTAAGCTCTTTTCTTGAAGGTTCCCAGGTCGTGTCGGTCCTGAAAAATCGCCGGTGGTAAATTATTCCACAAATAGAAAAAGAAGAAGAAAACTCCTAGTGAAACGTACAGTGGTGGACCGCCAAGCATTCAGATGGTGTGGATGGTATCGGGAGGTTTTCCGCGTAGTGCGTTCATGAAATTTGGCGGCTGGGATTAATCCAAACAATTCCTCAGAGCACTCTCCATGGTATATGCGAAAGAAAATGCAAAGAGATGCAATATCTCTTCGCAGCGCCAGTGAATCGAGCCGATCGGAAAGCACTCGGTCATCGACGAATCGAGCCGCTCTGCGCTGGATGCGGTCAAGTGGAAGGAGCTGGTACTGGGGAGCCCCAGCCCAGAGATGGGAACAGTATTCCATGTGTGGCCGAACCAGCGCCTTGTAAAGTTGCAGGCGGTGTGTCGGCATGAAATACTGTCCCACTCTGCTGAGCACGCCAAGCTTTTTAGAGGCCAATTTGGCCTTCTCTTCCAAGTGACCACGAAACTGCACGTCACTCGATATGTCGACGCCGAGGATTCCGATACTGGCTGAGGCAACAAGAAGAGTGCCTTGAAACTGAGGAGATACGACAAAGGGGTTCTTTTTAGCAGTTAAAGCGCAAACTTGTATCTTCTGAGTTAAGCTGGACTAGATTTAGTCGCCCTCAATCTGAGCCTTCGTTCAGCAAAGACTCAACTTCAGACACAAGTTTGTCCCGGTGCTCGGAGACGTTTTCCCGAAAAATTTTGGCACGGCCGGTGTATAGAGCATCACCAGTGCTGTCATCTGCATAGCAATGAATGTTACAGGATTGCAACATATCATTTATATGCAGAAGAAACAGCGTTTGTGATAGCACGCAGCCTTGTGAAACACTAGCACTAATAGGTTTGTAATCGGTGCTTGCACCGTCTACAACGACCTCGATGCTCCGATCTGCAAGAAAGCTGGTGATCCAATCGCACAAATTCTCGGGAAACCTATAGGAAGGGAGCTTCGAAAGAAGCGCTTTGTGCCAAACCCGATCGAAGGCTTTTGCAATGTTCAAACTAACGGCCAATGCTCCTCCTTGGAGTCTACTGCCGCCGCCCATCTATGAGTCTGGTAGACCTGAAGATCACCAGCAGCTCGATCATAACGGAAACCGTATTGGCAATCACTAATCAGCTGGTGATTCTCAAGGTACCTCATGAGCTGGCAGCAGAGCTGGAGTACCGGGAAAGACGCGTTAAGGTGGGTGCCAACTATGGAGTACACGTCTTCAGCACAATTGGGGGGATACCGTCAGGCCTACTCGACTTATGGATGTCCAGGTAGAGGAGTGCTTTGCGAACCGAGCGCTGTGTAAGCCGCACCTCCGGCATGGAGCGCTCACACCGCGGGATGATCGGCGGTGTACTCCCCCCTCATCGAGAGTCGAGTTGGACGCAAAGAAAGAGCCTAGCAGATCGGCTTTCTCCTTTGCGGTATGGGCCAGCGAGTCGTCCTCCCTGTGCAGAGATGGAAGATATGGTTGACCGAAATTCCCCTGGACAGCCTTGGCGAGAGACCAGAATGCACGGGTTCCAGAAGGAAGGCGAACTAATTTCTCGCCAATTCTGCCTATGTCCTCTGACACCTTGGCACTCTGATGCCTTGGCAATTACTCTTTTGAAGGACCTGTAAGGGGAATTATACTTTTTTTTTGAGCGCTGGTGTTTACATACCGGGACGTTGACGCGTCAGGCCAAGCTTGGTAGCACTCCTGCTTATAGCATGATGCTATTTCACAGGAGCAACCAAACCATGGCTGAGATTTGCCTCCGATGGGCACCACAGAGGAAGGAATAAAAAGTTCCATACCCTGAAGTACCACATCAGCAACAGAATCAGCAACAACGTCGGTAGGTCCGGCGAGACGCAAACCCGCCCTCAAGGGTAGGATGCAAAGAAAGACCGCATCCTATCCCAATCGGCTGACCTATATTGCCAAACACGGCGGCAGCCTACAGAATGCAACCACGACGTTAAAGGTACTGGCACCACAGTCTGTCTGGGTAAGACAATGATCCGAGGAGCTTAAAGGGGCGTTGACGGAAATCCGATATCCGTCCGGATGAGAGGTCAGCAGAAGGTCCAACAGGGAAGGTGTATGGTCCTCCACATCTGGAATCCGCGTAGGCGAAGTAACCAGTTGTGTCAAAAGTCGCCAATTTGGTCGATAAACTTTCTTCCAGGGCGTCCCTTCCCGACTCTGCCGTTCACGCCTGCCATATAAATTTGCTTTGTCACTCTTTCCTTTCTTAATCCTGGTCACAACATCATCTTGCTTACCACATTTATCCCTATCACGCAATGTCTCACCCTTTAATATAACAATAATTGCGTTTTAAAAGTATTATTGTACTGAGATTCCATGGCTTGATTTAAACCGTCAACACTCTTCCTATAATAGCTGTTTTAAAACTGTGATTGGACAAGTCCGTTAGAACTTAATAAAAAGTTAAGATCTTGTGGCTAGATTTTGAGACAAAAAAGTTACTTTTAGGTAAGTTTATACGCAAGTTTCTCTCTATTTTCATAAATTTACCTCATTAAAGCATATTTAACGTTATTTTATCGCTTTTTCATTGGTGGCAATGACTATACTTTAGTTTGTTTACAACAATGATTGACATAATATATGCCAAGATATTGTTAAGTATCAGAAATAATATAATTATAATAATAATAATAATATTCCACAACTATCACACAACGCCATCTAGTCCCAAGCTAAGAAAAGCTTGTGTTATGGGTACTAGACAACTGATAAACATAGTTATATATTTCTAAATACATAAATATTATAGATAAATTACACCCAGACACAGAACAAATGATCGTGCCCATCACACAAACATTTGTCCTGGGTGGGAATCGAACCCACGACCTCCGGCATAGCAGTCAGGGTCACTAACCACTAGACCAACAGGCCTGTCAAATAAAACTGACCATATGTCAAATAAAAACAAAACTAACCATTATGTTTAACTAGGCAACAAATTAAGAATTTGTTAGAGGTGAATAAGTGATTCAAAATAAAAAATCTTTTAGAAAAAAACCTTAAAATATTTATAGTTTTTGCCATTGCCAAATACCTATCATAAATCAAAAAGCAAGTAAACAACAACGTTATTTTGTGCTAACAAGTGAAGATTGGGAATCCAGAAGTTAAGCTAAAAACCAATGCAAAACTTGGCCAAAAATGAAAAAAAAAACAGAACTGAATCACTCAGCCAAATATAGAGACAAACTAACAAACAAAATAAGACGAACAAAGCCAAAATCTCCTACATTATTCTCAAATATTTTAGTAAAACCAGTCAATACCACAAATTCAGAAAAAGTTGAAAGAATTACTGAAGGCGAAAATAACCACCCAACTAAGCAATAGGATGAAT